CCCCCTTCCCCCCCCCCCCCCCCCAACCCCTCCCCCCCAACCCCCGCAGCAAGTGTTATTGCAGCCGGATACGTGGTCCCAAGTTCATCAAGGCCACATGGCAGTTTCCCATGTTGATGTTTCAGAGTTGTTTTATTATCGTTCAAGGTAAATGTTGCGCTGCTCCCAAGCTGATACCGACTCTGTATAACGCGCCGTGAAGCCAATTGCACCCCCCGATCTTTTTCCCATCGCCGTCCCCGGAACGCCCCTGATGCTGTCCTCCTCCCCTTGCATTTGACCACGATTGCCTAAGCAGACACACTCATCATTCTAAAGGCAAGATAAACACCAGGAACCCCATGCGTCTTGACCTTCGCTGTGCAGCCATCATGCCAGCCCAACCTCTCCAGCGTGTACAGCCGGTATTAACGTGGGCGTGGGTGAGGGGGATATAATACATGATTCATACAAATACGGCCTAGCTTTGGCTCCTCGACCGGTGCCGCTCACTCTTGGAGAGCTTGTTGAACACGGACCTAGGGTGACTTCTCGGCCCCTCGCCACGCTCCAGATCGACGCTGGCACCAAAGGTCCCGGCAGGCAGGACCTCGAAACCGGCATTCACGCGCCTCGACGACCGGTTGACGTGCGTCTCGCCCGAGTAGGACCGCGCCGGGGGGCTCATGACCGGTGTCTGCGCTCCGCTCGGGGTCAAGGACGACGCATCGCTTGCTTGCCTCGTTCGCGAGCCCTCAGGCGTGCTGAACGGGTTCTCGCTCGTCCCCGCCGCAGGCCCGAAGTACCCGTCTCTCTCCCTCATCAAGTCCGGGAATGGGCTCTGCTTCCGGCTGTGGGTTCGCACGCTGGACTGGTGCGACGGGATGGAGCCCTCGTCTGAGGAGCTGGAGGTACGGTCGCCTTCGGTGGCCCGTCGCACTGGGGCGGGCACCCTCGAAAACGAGTTTGTGGGCACGTACGTCTTCACGGCCGGACGATCTGCCGGTGAACCCTGGAGTTGGTCCAGCGTGGCCGCCGTGTAAGACTCCCGTGCCCTAGCCGAAGGCCTAGCCGGCGCATGCTTGGGTTTGTAAGTCGCTGCTGCACCTACGGCAGGCGACCTTGGCGGCGAAGAGTTGGCGTCGGGGCCAAAGGTGCTCTCCGACGGCGTGCGCTCTGGCGAGGCTGTGACCGGCTCAGATATGGCCTTGGCCTTGCCCTTGCTGTCGTGATCCGAGTTCAACGTCAGGGATGAGGCTCCCAGGGGGCTTTGGGAGTTGGGCGTTCCGGGCCTCGAAATCCAGATACCGTCAACTTCTATACCGCTTTGAATCGCTCGGACGCCGAAAGGAATATCCGGTCGCTTCCTGAGGGTGACGCCAGTCTTCTGGATCTCGGCCATCCTCGATTTCTTTTCCTCGTCGAGGATCTCATGCTTTCGCGTAGACCGGTTGATCCACCACAACTTCCCTAACCCGGCGAAGAATGTGAGGACAATCGAGCACGCAAGCACCTTGGCTTCGTTAGCCTACGCCGACTACACACGGGGCCATGACCGACTCACAAATGTCATTTGCTGCCACAGCTCCCAGTTGCTGAAAAACACGATGTTCCCCATCTTGAGTGTTGTCAAACGAACGACAGTTACTGAACTCTAGTCTCTAGTGTGATTGAGGAGCGACGTGTCGCCTTATACGGTTTGGTACAGAGCAATAGCTCTGTGGCCCCCAAAACGAAGGTGGCTCAGTGTGATGTTACTCGAGAGTGAACGAAGGCGGAGATTTGTGGCGTGTCTTTTTCCCGTTAATCCCGGGCTGCGGTCTGCAACAGGTATTCGAATTGCTGCCGGCAGGTGCGATGGGCCTCTGAGGGTCTGGCCGCTCGTTTGGAATACGAAGAAGCTGCAAGATGTTTGTATTCCCACCGAGTTGCAGGTACGAGATACGAGAGAAGAGGCTTGAGGCGGGAAGCCTCTGGAGGAATTCGTCCGGTCTGACGCCAAAAGCAGACTTGCTGGAGATGAGAGAACGAGAGTCTTGTCCAAGACTTTGTCGGTTCCCAGCTCGCACCGGTGCTCGGGGTGCAGGAGCTGTAAAGCTGATCGCAGGCAGACCTGCTGCAGGATCTTGTCGAATATAATTGGAAGCCCTTGTGTAACCAGGCTGTTCTCGGCCCAGCTGGAGATTATCGTGGGGTCGTGAGGTCGTGGGAATGTGACCCTATAGACGAGAGGTACCGGTAGATTAATTGCCAGCCGCGCGGTGCTTATGAGCCAGAGTATCAATCAACCAGGACAAAGTGCGTAAATAGCCGGTAAGGGCCAGGCCAGCAGCACGTTGTCGAACGAGGGGACAGGATCAATGTGATCCAACCAAAAAAGCGAATGACAAACAGAAAGAACAAGGCAGGGAAAAGTGGCAGCGTTTCCTGTTGGCCCTCGCCAGCGGTCCTACGGAAGCACGGGGGTTTTGTACAAAAGTCACCTGCATGCAACGGACTACGGATACCAACAGCACTCGGAGGCCCAAGCTGGGGGGTCTTCCTCGAATGTGTTAACTAAGCGTGCCATTTATTTATTTTTTGGGCAAACATCAAACCTGCTAGTTAGGGACCCCGTCCAGTATGGGCGATCGCCCCAGAGGGGACGCGATGGGTGTTGTCCGGTGTAGCCACCGTACTACTTTACTTTGTACCTGAATAGGAGCCCACTTGACGATGGACGAGAGACGTGCTCTACTCATAGACGTTACATCCCGCGCCAGGAATCCACAGCCGGACTGGGCCACGAACCGGGAACGACCTGGGGGCTCAGTCTGGGCACGCTGGCACGATGCCAGGGAGAGACTTGGCTGCTGTGTAACAGGCGTAACAGAAGCGTCCATGTATAGATCAGGTCACCGCAGCGGCTAAATCCAACAGTGTTGCTTCGTAGCCACCTCGCCACGAGGCCTGCAGTTCGCCAGTGGGAAATCCAGCGACGAGACTGATGGAAATAGCAGTAGACTTTACCCGGGGGCCTGGGCTTGCAGTCTGCAGACGAATAATTATTGTATTCTTCCCCCTTCTCCTCAGCGATGCTGCTCACAGGAAATGTCGTGATCGCATAGCAGTACTCGCTGAAGGACGGCCAGGACACGGCTAACACGTAGTGAGTATCGCATTGGCCTGGATCGACGAACAGCCCATTCGTGATCCACCTGACGTCGATAGAATACGAAGCCAAGGCCGCTCCCTGCATCGATAACTACCATGTTCAGGGTCGTTGGCAGCACTCGCAGGTCGGAAACCATCAAAGCCACCGACGTGTTTGGCCGTGCGGGAGCCATCAGTAGCGCCGGCCCCATTTCGTTGCTTCAGGTTCAACTCTGGCCACTGCACCTCGATATGCCGGCCATCCCAGCTAGTTTCGACCAACAGGGGACAGGGGACAGGGGACAGGGGCCAGGGGATGTGAGCAAACATCCCCGAGTTAGGAGAGGGGGAATTTAAACAAAAAAAATAATCCCCGTTACCGTGGCCCATGGGCCCATCACGACATCCCCGTCTCGGCAGAATTGCAAGTCCCCGATTTGAGAGTACGGCTTCATAGTGCCTTGCACCTCCAGAGTCCTGTTGTGGATGGATTCTAGAACAAAGCGTGGAAGACATAGTTACATAGACCCCAAAGTCGGCAATGCTCCCTTAACTTGGGTTGGTCATGCGACTTCAGCGCGAACACGAGCCTCGTCTTGCCTCATCTACTATGTTGTCACACAACTTCGGCACCATCCCTTTGCAACGTGCAGATTCACTGCTCGGTGGATTTCCTCTTTTCACTGCCGGCTTTCTTTTCTCTGCGCTGTTTGTCAAGGTTCTCTCCAGCGGCCTGAGCTGTCTTGGCGGGCGGTAGGGTAACTACGGTGGTTCGGTGGTTTTGCAATGCAACGTCCATTGCTAGCCTCACCGTTCGGGCAGTTTCAGCGCATGTACTTCTGCTGCTTGGCAGTGATAGCATCGTAGGACGCAAAAACACCGGCTGCAGGGGGCCAGGGGGAGCCGCCAGAGATCCAATCCAGGCTGGGATCTCCAAATGATCGCCTCGGGCCTGGCATTGGCCCCTCTGTGCTCTATCGATCCTAACTTAGATCGCTCCACTTCAGCGTCCGTACCATGTGGAGGCAGCCAGGGTCTTTCACCTCAACCTGTTACAGACTTCGTGACGAAGCCTCTGCTTAATTTATAAACCACCACTGTGAGGTCTAGGGACCCAGAGAACAATCGCCATGATCAGGCAAAATCCACATTGGATGTTGTCGACTCATGACCAAGGATTGCGTGCGTAGGCTTACTCACAAGATCAGGGGAGAAGTAATCAGTATTTAGCCAGCGGACGAACATCATATTTATCCATGTCGAAGCAGGATGACGCAGGCGCTGCCGCGACATACTTACTAAATCAGACATTGTTACGGGACTTGGCCCTACCACGCCTCCCATTCGGTCGTTGCTTCAGTCGCCATGCGGGGACTGCCGCTTCGTCTGCTTCGCCTGGAGTAGCCACGGCGGAAACTCGACTGGTGGGACTGCAACGCTCTCGCCAAGTAGCTCACCATATTGATGGTCCTTCGTCTTTGTGATAGCTGTCGTCCTGGGCCCTATCGTTCCGAGTTCGAAGTTACCTCTTCTGTTATCCTCTTGATCGTATTGTCTTGGGAGCTGAGCATGTAGTCGCGCCTGACATATATTAATCTCCGAGGCTAAGATCTGATAACAACATCCGAGTCTACCCTGTCTTCAATTCTTTCCCCGCAAGGGTTTGCCAGAGGTCGCTGTTGCGCTCGGTTCAACGCATAAGATAGATATTTATATATATCCGAGACGAGATCAAAATTCATTATCAAATGGGCCATTCGTTTGTGGTATTATCATCGCAAATGACACTTGTCCGAATTGGCAGTTTATTCATATGTCACAGGTAAGTCTTTAGTATGTCGAGGGATGCCATTCATTGTCATCCAGCCTGCGATACAGGCTAGGTCTTCGACACATGGAGTAGAATCACGAGCCGAGCAAGACCGAACGCTGAGCAATTAACACTGCAAATAACAATGTCCACTTTGTACGCCATTTCATCTGTATGAGTCCAATATTAATTAATTGCCAGGAGTGCGTAAGCTGCTTCGTAGAACGGCACTTCCGTTTGCACCGTAGCACACTATGCCCACAGCTCACAAGGTTGGCGGTCTTGACATCCACCAATATCTGTTTTCTGCAGGATGACAGGCTTGGTGACCTCTACGGATCCAAGAGCACAGTGTTCTCAGGTATTTGGAACTGATGAATGGGGAAATGAGCTAATTCCAGCAAATGCAGTCATTCGGGACTCAGTCGATCTCTCGCATTCCCGACAATGAACACAGCCGTTGCTCATAATATTATGCCATGCATAATGGCAGAAGATGAGTACGTCCATTAATGTACTGACCATTAGGTATGCCGTAGAAGTATAGATGGGAACGGACCCTGCTCTTTTCTTCCATCAAAATTGAAATGCCACCCTCGTCTTGCAGCTCGACACAGGCCAACTAGAAATCATACAATCGAACAAGGCGGGGACTTGGGAAGCTCAGTTTGACAGGTAACAGTTCTAAATGCGGATCACGGCCACCGCCAGCACATCCACCGAGGAGCTTTGGGGTTGCAGTTCCAAAGCCTAAGCGGAGCGCCTCATTACTCGTAGCGGACGTAACGGGATGGATCGAGGCCGGGTGGCGCAGCAGGAAATCTCGGGTCGTACTCCTCATCCGGTACAGCCACAGTCCTAGAAGGGTTCTCACAATATGTCTGTCGCATCACATCGTGTGACCTTCTTGGAGAGTCAAAGACGCGTTGATGACTAGATCCCAGGCTATGGACTGGATTTCCGGGCCCATAGGGAGACTCTGGCGCATAACGATCTTGTACAGGGGCTCTGCGCGCCGTTGATTCGCGATAGATGGGATTCTCATCTGTGTACCTCGTATAGATAGGTTCATGGTCCCTAAAGATAGGTCTCTTGATATAATACTCGCCTCGTGTATCTTGGACCAGCACGAGCTCGTAGGCTTCCGTGTACGGCCCTCCTGACAGCGGCATCAGTGGTCTTGATTCGCCCAAACGCGGACCTGAATGGTTTGCGGACGGCGGTGAAGGCCGCCTTAGTTCCTGGGTTGGACGTGACGAGTAGTAATCTGCCTGATAAGTATGGTCTTGATCGGCCGCGCAAGATTCGTGGAAATGTCTTGTCGATCTTCCTTCAAATCCAAGCCCAGGAGGGCCACCGTGGGAAAGCGCTCGAGTGTGTGCAGGCTCCGGCGGGTGAGTGGGAGGACTGGTTTCTTGGTAGTACTGGGCAGGAACGGCCTGTGTTGGACGGGTTCGAGCGCGAGTTGGGGGCTGCGAGTGATTGTGCTCATGCATAGGAGGTCGTTCGAGTTGAGAAGGTAGTGGGCCATCGTCGTTCCACCTTTGTTCCCTGGTAGCCCACTGGTCATAGACCGGTTGCACCCTCCTTGGCTCAACGTCGGGCTTCCTGGATGATTGTGTTTCGTATGTATGAAGTGTATGCTCTTCATTCAAGTGGGACTCCAAGCTTGCAAATAGATCATCATCGTCGTCTGACTCGGATTCTGGTGAAGGGTGCCGTGCGAGCAGCTTGCCGGAAGCTGCGGACACCGAGACGGCCTGTTGAGCAGGTGCCTGGGCTGGCGACCTAGCTGAAGATTCTCTCTCGTCGCCGGAGTCCACTTGCGGAGCTACAGAGGTCGAAGCTATGCGGGCAGCAGTTTTGCGCTCAGCAGCCCACATGGCTCGAATTTCCTCCTCTTGGCGCTGTGCTTCGGCTTCAGCCTCCTTGTCGACTTCTTCGTCTTCCATCTTGGTAGCGGCGGGACTCTCCACGCCATTTCTAGCATTGCCCTTCCGAGTTTTGCCGCCTGAACTGGCAGCTGGCTTCCGGTCTCTTGCGGCAGGCTGTCGACCGCGGTGTTTGTTTTGCCGTGCGTCAGGAGAGGTCTGTCCAGAATTGCTATGGCTAGAAAGTTGTGAGTTATGCCGCGGTGCCTGATATGGTGCAAACGCTGGGTTTATATGGCCCTCCGCTGGTGAGGCTGCCGTTGCGGCGGCATGCTGCGACCCGGATTCCGAGGCTGCGTGATGAGGATTGTACGGGATGTGTATACCGTTTATTTGAAGACCATGGCGAGGTATGTTATTTGGTGGATTGTACCCAGCACCGATACTGGCGGGGCCATCTAGAAGTGCACCAGTATGGCCCACGGCAGGCGGAGGCTCGGGTACCATGGGAAGCGCCGCTTGAGGAAACGCCTCTGTGATAAGAGCAAACTTGTGGTTGTCCATGCCAACCATGGCTCGCAGGTTTGAAAGACAGGACAGATCAGGGATGTACACCATGTCGATAGTCCAATCTGGCATGGCACCGCCCATAGCCTGCAAAGGCTCAATGTGTTTTTGCTGAAAATGGGTTACGAGCTGGGGGAGTGAGAAAGTGCTTCTTTCGCCTTCACGCATAACGATATTATCCAGACCTAGTTGGCAAGCTTTGCAAATGAGTCTGTTAACATTGCGGACAGGGCGCATTTCTTTGTTGTTGGAGAGGCCGTCAATGAACATCACCAGCGGTGGGCTTTCTGAAAATCGAGACCTGTACCTTTTAGCCAAGTGCCATAGAACAACACTGACTCTTATATCACCAGTAAGTTCTTTCACGCCTGCAATGGTCATCCATACGTCTCGTGAGTTGCGAGCCAGATCATCAAGTTGAAGCAAAGAAAGCGTTTTGTCCGGAAAGGGGCCATGCTGAGGGATGGGATATACACCCTGGCTGTTAGCATGAAATGCATTATAATTCTGACCATGTTGAACGCCGGGAGGGCCCGTGATGAGAGGGCCAAAATGTGGAGGGTAATAGTGATTGGGTAGCATTCCCTGGTGCGCCGAGAGCACACTCGGCGGTGCGCTGTGACTGGCGTTGAAAGCCGCGGGCGAATGCGGAAATGGAGGATCGTAAGGGCCTTGCTGCTGATTATAGACCCCTGGCGGTGGGCCAAAGGCACTTTGCTGGACCGGATGAACCGGCGGAGGGTAGTTGGCGGTATAGGGTGGACCGGGGTATAATGGTGTATAAGGAACACTCCCAAATGTAATATGCTGCGTTTGGCTGGAGCCTGTTTGATGGGCGTGCCCAGATGCAGGATGTGAAGACAGGCCAGCCGGTTGGCGATGTTGAGCGCTTCTTGCAATGGGATCCGGGTGGAACGGAGGTACTTCCGGCCACTCTGATCGCCAATATACTACTACGCTGCCGAGACTGAGTGAGCTGGTATGTTTGGCAGCATAGTGCTGCACGACACCTTCAAATCCATACGCCTTGAGGTTGTCTTCACATCCGTTGCATATAAACAGTTCCTTGCGATACGATTCGGTGTGAGGCTTGATCTTCGTGTCGAACAGCCATTTCATATTCTCAAGTGTCAATTTCTGGGTAAAGGGGCCCTGCGGCGGATCGCGAGGTGGCTTCCGGCCTTCGGAACGGGCTGCAGCGGCGGCCTTTGTGATTTGAGAATAGAAACGCCTGCGCACAGATAGAAGAACATCCGCTGCAAACTTGGGGCTGTTTTCTCTTCCGACCTTGTTGCCATCATCCCAAGTATCGCGGATGGCCTCGTCGGCGTACATGGATATCTCAGCCCGAAGAGGGGCTTGAGCGTCATCCCAGTCTTTATCTACGAGCTCTTTCGACTCTCTGCTCTGCGATTCTGATCCAGGTGCCCTCGCTGGTTCCTGCACGACTTGCAAGGTCGAGGGAGTCTGTTGTTTGCGCTCCTTCTCGTCGCGCACTTCTGCATCGGCTCTTTGGCCCAGCAAGCGGGGTTTGAGAAGCCCCCATGCGTGATCATCGAGGGGCGTGATGATTTGCAAAGCGGCTTGAAACGCAGGCATATGGGCGAGTATATTGGGTAGCAACGGGGGCTCCAGCAACATAGCGCGCCTCTCGATCTCAGCTTGTCGAGCAGCTTTCATCTCCAAAACTTCTTCACGTGTCCGCACACGCGACTGGTGACTCTGGACGGGTTGTACCGATGTCGGCGGTACCGAGAATGGCGTATCATCTGGAGTAATGGGTGAGTTTACGATTTCCCTGGCGCAAAACCCTCCCCAATACTTACTATCGACGACCAGAGGCATTATGCGTTGCAAACCAGTTGAAGGTGATGGGGCACTCGGAGCAGCATTGGGTAAACTGGAGGTTTCGTGTCTGTCCACTGCGAGGGTCGAGTTTGGGGCACCCGTCGGGCTTTCCGATCCGACATGGTGCATCTGATCTGACGTCTTCAGCTCATGTCGACGAGCACTACAGGCTTGAACTGCTCCGCCGGCGGATTCCCATTTCTCCCATCGAGCAGCATCGAGGCGGCGTTGCTTGCCATAATCCTCAAGGCCCTTGAGCCACTCTTCAGCAGCACCCGACCCGAGATCCTTGACGGTCAGGAACTCCGCCTTGAGCTCGTCAACATGCTCTGAGAAGAACAACTTGGTTAATGGTGCTGATGTGGGGATTTGGCCGTTCTCCACAGTGCTGGGGGTATAGACTTGGAGGTCACCGGTGATCAGAACGAATGGCAATGCAGGAAGAAGTAGAGATGGGACAGAAGACGAAAGTAGTAAGTCGATCTCCTGTCAACTTGTGAGAAAAAAATTGGTCAGGCAATAGAGATGTGGCGACCTACCTTTGTGGTATTGGATACCAAGCAAGGCCCGCAAGACGTCGTTGCGAATGGCCAAATGGTTTTTACGTTTTCCGACCCAGGACCCGGATTCAACTTTGCCTGGGTTGTCAATGCATCGGCGTTTACCAACATGCCACAATATTGGCAGCTCGTGGCGTAGACCAAGCGCCACATGTCCAGCTCGGTCTTGCCCATCAGTGGTGATGGCATCTTGGATGACCAATGACGCCTCCTGGAAACTTGCCAGATGGCATCTGGCTGAAGCGCCGCAACGGGCCCCCGTGTAGCATAGGCGGGAGGACGGCATGGAACGGATGAGGAGGGATCGAGGTAGAGATTGAACAGTCTGCTGACCCGCACTAGGGTGCCAAGTGTAATGGGAGGGACGAAAGTGAAGATATGATGCCAGATCTCTGGAGGTAGCAGAGAACGATCTGCTCCAAGAGAACCTATGCGTTGGGGGCGAGAGGGCACATTCCTGTCCAGCTTGACTTTCTTCACATGCTCTGAGGGTTCCTCTGGGACAAAGTCAGCGCCCGGTGATTTCCGCTTCCCAGATCTATCGCCTCCAGCAGCGCCCCGGCCCTTGGCAGTGGTCTGTGGATCAAGCATGCTGTCTATAGTCGTGTCATCAGGCACACGATGCTGGCATGTGTCCTCAATGTCGTCGTCTGATGCAGGCGACATGGACACATCCGAGTCCGAGCTGTCGTCAAACATGATGACATCTTCCTCGGCTGCAGAGACAGTCTTCTCGGGCACATCTGCTGGACTGTGCGGGCGATGCGTTGCAGCTGAGCGGCCCGCGGCTTCACCCGAGCCCATAGCTCCTATGGTAAACGGACGAAGAGGCAGGCTGCTCGCAATCGGGAGGTTGAACGGACAGTGAGGGCGGCCGTCGCAAGAAGGACAGGCTGGACAAGAGGGGGGGCGCCTCGACGTACACTTGTCAAAGGAGGTCTTGACGGTCTGGGGAAGGACGGGGCAGACTAGACTGAGTACTGGTTGTTTCGAACCAAGGCCCGTCACAGCTTTTCTTTCGAAAAGGTGGCTCCTTGGGTCCGACAGGAAAGTCAGAGGAAGACGGCAGGGGGGGTTTGACTACCACAGCTGCCGACAACAATCGGTCACGACAAGACGGGAATACTCATGGTGACAGTGGCCTTGGCGGCAGTGGTGGAGGCGGTGGTGGGATTTCAATGTAGATGGACAGGCGAGGCTCTCAGGCGTGACGGGACCTCGGTCGAGTCGGATGGCGGTTATTCAAAATCCGTGGCAAAGGGAAAGGGCGCGCGAAGACGTGACAAACAAATTGCCGGATCGCGCACGAGTTGACAGCAAGTCGCGGTATGCGATGGACCCGCGTAGGCGAGCAAGAATGCCAGGCGTCGTTGTTCTCGTGCCCTGCATGTATACTTGTAGGTGTCCGGCGGGTTGAGATACAAGTCCAGGTCCGGCCTTTGGAGGCTGACCCTGCCTGGGCGGCGGTGCATGCAGCCAGCTGAGGGCCAGCTGGGAAGGCCACACCCCTTGTCGGGCTTCCCTAACCCGCACTACAGGCCGCTACATAATAGTTTACCCCCTGCCAAAGATTGCCTCATTTCAGGTTGCTGTGGTTGCCCCTCCCCCGCTATTTTAGGGGCGTACACTGACTGCAACTTTTAGGGTGCCCCGACCGACTCCCAAGACTCCCAGTCGCCAGCGGGCAGACCAAGAAAACATCCGGACAGAACCTCAGGCGCATAACCCATCCGTCCCCTTCGTCCGCCAAACTTTTCACCACGCCTGTCCGCACTCCTGCATCGTGCCGAGCCGCATCTTCTGCTGTCACCCACCCTTTGCTGCCCCGTCTTCTCTTTCTCTGCTGTCAACCAACGCGTCTTCGCCAAGGCTCCAACATGGCCCCCCCCACCAAGGTCTTCTCCCTCGAGGGAAAGGGCCTGAAGCTGGACACCGCCCAGGACCTCGAGGCTCACATCGCCGACTTGCGCGCCATGCACGACGTCGAGGAGGTGAGGCTACTAGGCAACACCCTCGGAGTCGGCGCCTGCCAGCTTCTCGGCGAGGTCCTGGCCACCAAGAAATCGTTGCAGGTGAGCTGCCCCGCCGCCCACCCCCGTGCCCGTTGTCGCTCGGGGGGTCTCCTCGCGAAATAGCCTGCTAACCCGGCCCGCCCTCCCTCTCCAGGTTGCCAATCTTGCCGACATATTCACCGGCAGGCTGCTCAGCGAGATCCCCGACGCCCTGTCTTCTCTCCTGACTTCGATCCTGAACCTGCCCAACCTGCGGACAATCAACCTCAACGACAACGCCTTCGGCCTCAACACTCAGGCGCCCCTGGTGGCCTTCCTCGCCAGGCACGTCCCCCTGCAGCACCTGTACCTCAACAACAACGGCCTGGGTCCCCACGCCGGCATCCTGGTCGCCGATGCCCTCTCCGAGCTGCACACCAAGAAGGAGGAGGCCCGCAAGTCCGGCCAGGATGTCCCCTACCTCGAGACCGTCATCTGTGGCCGCAACCGCCTGGAGAATGGCAGCATGACGGCCTGGGCCAAGACCTTCAGCCTGCACGACAAGGTCAAGGAGATCAAGATGGTGCAGAACGGCATCCGTCAGGAGGGTATTTCCCACCTGCTGAGCGAGGGCCTCAACCGCGCCACCGAGCTCCACACCCTCGATCTGCAGGACAACACCTTTACCCTCATGGGCGCAAAGGCCCTGGCCAAGGTGGTCCCCACCTGGACTGAGATCCAGGAGCTCGGCATCGGTGACTCGCTCCTGGGGGCCAAGGGAGGCGTGCTTCTCGGCTCTGCCCTCGCCAAGGGGAGGAACCAAAAACTTCAGATTCTGCGCCTACAATATAACGACATCACCGCGCCTGGCGTAAAGGGGCTGGCCGAGGCTGCCAAGGACGGCCTTCCTGCCCTGAGGAAGCTGGAGCTCAACGGCAACAAGTTCTCCGAGGAGGACGAGTCGATCCTGGCGCTGCAGGCGCTCTTCGAGGACCGCAAGGAGAAGCTTGGCGGCGATGTCGTGGATGAGGATGCGTGGGGTCTTGACGAACTGGACGAGCTGGAAGAAGTGGATTCTGACGAGGAAGAGGAGGAGGAAGAAGAGGAGGAGGAGGAGGAAGAGGAGATCGAGCCCGAAAAGAGGGCCGAGAAGCTCATCAAGGAGGCCGAGGAGGCCCAGGAGGAGCCCACGGTCCAGCTCAAGGACGCCGAGGTCGACTCTTTGGCGAAGAAGTTGGAGAAGACGACCATTTAAGTGGATATGGTTGGCTGATCCTGAGATCGTCCGGATTAGAGGGCCGAACGTACACGTGGCTGGTGGAAGTTGCCAGTCGACACGAAGATGATACCCTGAGCAACATCCTAGATAGAGTTGTTGCGTAGAGACCATGGATATACGCCATCATTAGAAATGAGGAAAATGAAGAAACGATTCAGATGCCTTGTTTTCCCCGGCTTGTGAATAAGAAGACACATGAATCAAAAAGCAAATTGACTTGGCGAACCCGGCTGTTGGCGACCAAGAAACGCGAAAAGGCAACAACAGCAACGGCAAACGAGAGGAAAGAGGTTGCAATCAGAGGGCACATCCATCAGACTCGGGCCCGAGCGGGGAACTGCTTGACGATTAGCAACTGCACCTGGACATCATGCCATCTACAATAACCTGGCAAGGTCACTTGACTGCTCGCTTTAGTGACTGGTCTGAGGGATGTGGGACAAGTCACCGAAAAGCGTGTTTTAGCTTCTACAGAAAGGCAATGCATCTCCATATACTATCCAAGTTGCTACTATGCAAGTTGTGAGGAATGGCATGGCTCCGAATTGTTATGTACATATATATATTCCTCCACTAGTAAACACTCGCATCGCCGCCACGGGGCTGACCATGAAGCGGCGAGGGAAAGAGTGGAAAGGGGCAATGCTGATGATAAAAGGGGAAGGGGGAGGCACCTAACCGTCTTTGTCTTTCTACATAGTCATACATGTGAACCAAGAAAGGGGAGTACACCAACGTTCCATAGATCGGTGCCGCAGCTGCTTGCAACCCGGCACGTGACAGAGCCCAGTGTGTTTCCTAGCACAGAACCCGACTCCTTTCTTTTTTGTCTATTATAACACTTCGCCAATGATCTGGGCGGCCTCGCGATAGGTCTGGAGCAGCTTCTCGCACTTTTCGCGTTCTTTCTTAACTCCGTCGTCCTCGTACAGCAGCTCCTCGAAGAGACCCTCCTTGTAGAGCGAACTGACCAGGCGGTTCTGCACTACATCCTTGCTGTGGTTGACGAGAAGATGCATGATGGCCTTGGGGACCTGGTCGGCGATGGACTCCCGTACGATATTGAAATAGGATGAGATGAGGGCCCGGATAAGCTCCGTTTCCATGGCCTCGCGCTCGGTCAAGGCTGGCTCAGTGTTGTTACCCTTGGGCACGTGTCAGTATAATTTGGAAGGAGTAGGTGGGGTGTGTCAGGTGCGGTACGAACCATTGCGCCAAAGCCAAACTCCGTCGTCCTCGGGCTCTCCTCCTCTCGGAATAGGGACTGGGAAAGGGCGGGCCGGTGTGTAACCCTGTCTTCGCCTCGGCGTATGCTTTGGCTGAAGGTTGGTTCCTGCGACTGACTGACATGGCGAGGCAGGCCCCCAGGCGTGCCGGCGCCACCCCCTTGGTGTGGCGCCCCATCTTTTCCAAAGAAGTAGTTCAAGAAGGTGTCACGCGCGCCGCCACCGAGCGACTGAGGATTCAACCTCGCTGGGGATCCAGACCTCGCTCCGTTGACGGCCGCGGCCAAGCTGCTAGTGCCGTTCTCCCGGACAGCTGGTGACATACTACGTGTGCCCTTTGCAACCTGCTTCCGAGAGTTGGAAACTTCCCCCTTCTCCGTTGCTGCATCCTCGTCGTCTTCAGGGGTCTCCGTGCCGTTCGGGCCGAGTTCCTTGAGGCGCCGTTTCTCCCGCCGCGCCCTCTCCTCCTCAATGAGCCTCTTCCTCTCCCGGTCCTGCTTGTTGGTCACAACGTGACTCATGGCGGCGGCGGCGCCGAGGAAGTTCGGGTGGTTGGTGTTGATGTAGGCGCGCTGAATGGAGATCAGGGACTCGACGTAGTTTGATGCCGGTCCTAATCTCTCGCGAAGCAGATCTGAAACCACCTCGATGAGCTTGGCCTGTAATCTAGGGAAACGAGACAGCTCGGTCGAGCCGCATGTATGACAGATCTTGATCAGCTCCTCGTAGACGAGCTCCACACAGCGCTGGCTGGGAATCTCTAGAAGCTTGATCTGTGGCTTGACCAGCAGGTCGAAGGCCATTTCGGGGACGAACAGGCTGGGGCGAGGACCGGTCGAGTTCCGGATGGCGGTCCTGATGTCCAAGGCCGAGAGGTTCGACGTAGGATCTATGGACTCGAGCGAACTGCCAAAGACCGAGTTGAAGATGTAGTAGATGCGGGCACCTCCCGACAGCTCCTTGGTGGAGATCTCGGTAGATGTACCGTCAATGGAGGATATGAAGGAGGATGCAAACTTGGTCATGAGCTGTAGAATCATGGAGCCGCGGTGCTCCTTGCCACTGAAGTGCATGTCGCCGTAGCTCGCCAGCTCCTGTTGCGTCTGCCCCATCAAGGTGTTCAGGCGAGCCTTGATATCGGGCAGACGTTCCCGAATGTGGGTCATGAGGGTCTGGTTCAAGGTCTTGGCCAAGAACTGCGTGCCGCAGCGAGTCGCGATGTTTCGGTAGGCGGGGTGGTGCTTGAAGAACTCGTTCTCTGCCTTGAGGGCATCCTCCATGGGCTTGTTGCCCTGGATGTCCTGCTGCGACCGGTTGACGACGCCAATAAAGCCGAGCTTGAGAGGGTAGACGCGGCCCGACAGGATGTCCAGGGCGTTGGTACCGTGGTCCATCAGATCGACCTTGGTGAGGACGCCGACGGTCCTCCGGCCGAGGGGGTCGACATGCCTGGCAAGCTTGAGAGCCTCGGAGTTGACAATGTCGACGTTGGCCGGGGAGACGGCCAGGATGATGCTGTTGGGCTTGGCAATGAACTCGGAGATCAAGGTGCGGGTCTGCTTCTCAATGTCGGGGGGCTGGTCGCCGATGGGGACCTTGGTCAGGCCGGGCAGATCGACCAAGGTCAGGTTCAAGACGTGGGGGGAGTAGATCTTGAGGTTGATGGGCTGCCTGTTGATGCCCTTGTTGCTGCCGGCGACGCGGGCCGTCTCGTTCTCGATCTCGCGCTTGACATCGCCGAAGTCGGTGAACTTGCGGCCGGGAATGTGATGGAACTCGGCCCACTCGGAGCGCCTGGCCTGGTTGGGGTTGTTGTAGGCGGACTGGAGGTCGGGCTCGGCCTCGTCCTCCTCGACGTTGATCAGCTGGAGGATCAGCGGGCGACGGGTGACGATGCCGCTGCCGCGGGGCAGAAAGTCGCGGCCGACGATGTTCTCGAGCACGGAGGACTTGCCGGCGGACTGCGAGCCGACGACGACCTGGGCAGGTTAAGAGGGTGAGCACGAGGAGGGCGGCGGCGGCGGCGGCAGGTGGAAACGTACAATCTGGGGTAGGTCCAAGCTGTCAGTGCCGATGGTGTTGAAGACCAAGTCCTGCAGCTGGTTGACGATGCGAAGCAGGTCATCGCCGAGAGCAGCCATGGCGAGAGATGCTGACACAGATGCAAGCTGTGTCGGTGTTGTTGAGGTTGGCAAGATTGGGCAGGGGGGGCCGTGACGTGACGCAGTTTTGCTGTATGTACAGTACACGGCAACTTGGCACCTGTTCCCAAGCAACCAAAAGGCTGGATCTGGATTGGTTTTGTCGGCAGCAGTCGGACCCCGGACGCTCCAGGAACCGCTTTATCTCAAAGTTTTCGCGAGCTTGCGCCGACTCAAGTGGTCCCGACCCGTGTCTCCGGCCGCCAGGGGAGGGAGAGCGTGGTGGATATTTTGGGCGAAAGCAGACAGAGAGAGGGAGATGGATGGAGAAGTATGTGGACAGGTTCGGTTTACATGCAATCGTCGTTTTTGTTGTTGAAACCGCGGACACCGAGTCTGGGGTGGTCTTGATGCGTCTTGATGCGCGCGATGGAAAATAATCCAGAGAGGGAGGCTATTGGACACACACACACACACGTCGGGGACTGCTGATCTACCTATGGGCCCTATGCATGTGCTGGTGCTGGACCTAAGAAGCCTCCAGGGCTGCCCTGTACGTAACTGCACAGTAGTATCAACAGGCGCGTCTGCGTCTGTGGCGGGCCACCCGGGTCTTGCTGTCATAGGTCGGTTTCAGCGCCCATCAAAAAGCCCCATGCCCAGATTTATGCGGCACCCAGCAAGAAACCTGGCAGCTCCACCGGCCGTTAGCTCCGCGCTGCCGCTTCATTTCAGCTTCGTCATGCGCGAGCCCGCCCAGGGCCCGTCACGTCAAAGCAGCTGGAGGCCAGGAAGGGGGGAGCCTCAAATCAGACGAAAGAAAGACCATCGAAACCTCAGCCTCGTGCTAGCTCAAATCACTGCCTGGACCGACTGAGCCTGCTTGCCTGCTTGCCTCACGACACGGCCACGACGACGTCCTAGGGTGCATATCATTCCGCTCCGCTACAACTACAACCAGCTTGGACCTGGACTGCCTCTGCCATACAGAAGTTCTATACCTAGTGCCACACTGCCATCCGTTTTGCGACCTTCCCCAGCCTGCGAAGCAGATAACGTACAATTTGAGCATCTCATGCGACTAACATGGATCACGTACCTCCTACCCGAGGTACCTAGGTATATTTATGTAGGTATGAAATTGGAAGACATATGCCCCTTTCCCCTCCGATGTGGGACTGTACGCTCGCCATTACTTTTTGCTTCGTTCAACTGCCAGCCACTAACACGCCCGAGCCATGGCGTTGTATGCTATCTATTCACTCTATCTACGGTACGTCGCATCAAGGTGTAGTACGACATGCTGCAGGTTGAGAGCCGAAAAGATCGTGAGCCACACACACACACACGCACACACACACATACACATACATACACATACACATGGGACCAAGTCTATTCATCCATCTCGCACGTGAGCTAGAATCTGCCGCAACCTTAGAATAGCCTTTGCCTCTGCCGGCGTGGCTTCGCGCCCGCCCTCCTGTATCTTTCGGGCCTCCGCCTGCGCCTCCTGCACCAGCATCCCCAGGTCTCCCCAGACTTCGTCGGTGTAACGCGAGAGGACGTCGCCCCATTGGTTAGCCCACGTCCTTCTGGCCTCCGAGACGTCTGACGTCCCCATGTGCTGCCAGAGTTCACTGGTGCCCCGGAGTGAAGCCTCGTCGCCCACATACTCGGGCACAAAGTTGAGCAGGTCGTCCCAGTCGGCAGGCCGGCCCCCAGTAGCGGACGAGGCCGCCGAGTTACCAAAGAGAGCTCGCCGCAACGCCGTGGCGTCGTCGCGCGAGAGCGGTACGTCGGGGTCCGGCCGCACAACCTCATCGTAATCAGTGTCGAGTAGCTTGACGACCTCTAGGCCGTCCGTGCTTGCATAGTCGTCGTGCGAGAGCATCCGACTCGCCTGTGGTGCAGTGGCCCCCATGCGTTCATCAAGGTCCAGACCATGCTGAACCCCCAAAGACTGCGACACGCTTGTGCCGTCCAGGAAATTGGAAAAGGCGGCCTCTTGTTGCTTGACGTGCTCCTGAGCATGTGTGGACTTGACGTTGCCGCCCAAACTTGGCCCTGCCTGGTGGGCGTAGCTGGACGTCTCCCCTTTAGACGCCTGGGGGCGTGGGATCGAAGCTCCTGCTTTGTCCGAGGGCAAGAGATGGCCCGCGCTGTCGAACCCTGACACCAGGCCCGACCCCAGCGTCAGTGCCGAGTCAGCCACGCGGGATGAGAGGTTTGCCCTGCTCCCTCTCTGCATTTCCTTCTCGCTGCCACCGCTCGCAGGAAATGTCACGTCGGTACTTCTCCCCTTTCCATTTTCCTTTTCCTTCCCTTTGCTGTTTGGAGGGGTTTGCGGGCCGTCCCTCTCCATGATGTAAGCCTGGTCTAACGGGACGGGTTTTGACGTTTTGTCAAACGGAAGTAAAAGATGGCATCAGTGATGAATGGACGTTGTTGGTAAATGTGCACGACGGCAAGGGTGTTATAATACGGGAGGAAGATATTGCTTGTGAGATGCGGAATACTGAGGTGCAACAGCTCGTGTTGCGCCTAATTCGTGGCCGTAGGTTGGAACACACGCACTATGCCGGGTAACCTCGGGACATGACAAGACTTGTGGGTTATTGGGCGGTCGTATCCTTTAGGTTGGTTCGGTTGCCTCTGCGTAGCGCATCGCATGGCACACGTAGAATGCCAGGCAGGCTTGATCACCCGTTGAACTGCGGACAGAGGGACTTGGGGTTGACTTGTGCTTTGAGACAGGACGCCGCCTGTGCCATGCCGTATAGTGTGGCAGATGATAAGTCGCACATAGCATGTGACCGCGGATGGCAAGCACAGATCACTGCGAGCCCTCTTCCCCCGCCCAGTTTTCGCTATGCGAGTATAGTTATATAGTTGGGCGTAATGTAATAGTTCGTCGGGTCGCGTCTTTCCCAACATTGGCTGAAGAAAGATGGGGGAAGACGGTTCGAGCCATGACCAGTGCTTGCTGTTTCTTGGCCTAGACGGATTGACTTGGATGCTGTGCAATTGGAGATGTCATAATGGCTGTCCAGAGGGGGATGCCGAGCAAGACTCGTGCCACGTCACGTGCGAACACACCGGATCCGGTCGACTCGGCAAAGCCTGAACAAAGACGTAGCAAATGCAACAAACGATGGACTCGAAAGTTCTTTGTGATGCATCATGGGTGAGGGGTGGGCCGTTGTGGCTGGTGAAGCACCTGTCTCCAACCTAGGTAGCACATTCCAGGTAGAGCAAGAAGCGGCCACCTAGTTTGGGAATAGAGAAAGGCTTCTGGATATCTGTATAGCAGGATATGTAGGTGCACATCTAGGCGATCGATGCTACCGACGCTTCATACGTCGCGATACTGTGCTGGTGTAGGACAATGACTACCTAGGTACCGAGTATAATAACTTCCGAGTACCTACGCACCTAGCACTACATAGGTACTGTAGATACGCATCCCTATAGATATGGACGCATACCTCGATAGCGGCACTACCAAGGTCAACCCCACCTTGTCCTCGTTTGCTCCCCAAGCTGGCAGCTGGGTGCAACCTTGGAACTATGTCATATCCGTCGTTTTAGGCCTAGCTCGTCCCCGAAGAAGCGGCACTGATGCAACCGCCTGGAGCTCTCTCGTGGGCCTCGAGCTTGGAACCCACCTGGTGTAACTGGGCATGAGGTCTGAGAGCTTGGCTAGGCCTGCTAACTGAGAGGGCCCTGCGAGGCGTGTAAGGCAAGTAATCTGGAAGGCCGCCTTTCGCCTTTCGCCAACGCCCCGCGCCCAGAGCCCAGCGGCCAGTGGCCAGTGGCCAGTGGCCAGTGCCCCAACTTATCTCCAGGGCTATCCCCAAACCCAAAGACCTCCAGCCCTCCGGCCATGCAGACAGAACCTGATGTCAGCTCACGCATCTCTCCCCTCCCGTGGGATCGTTAACCTAGATAATCCCGAGTGGTTGTTTGTATAACGCTGGTGCGAGAAACCTCCGGAAAAGCCTTTTTCTCGTCGTGTTGAACGCGCGCTGCCCCTCTTGTGTGTGTGCCCCCCTTTGTGTGTTTACTGCTCTTTTTCTTAAGTTAGTAGGCCGTGTTGTGAAGTCGGCGGCGTCCGAGAACCCGCAGGTTTCCCGGTCGCTTATCAACCAAGGATTCTGCCTCTCGAGTACGGAGTACTGTGTACAGACAGTACAGTAATTGGGGGCCGCAGCTGGGCAGAGTGAGAGAGGGGTTCGGAGCGCCAGACAGTGGTTGGCCACCGCGACCAGCGCCCGGAGCTAGGCTCTTTGCTGCTACTGTAGGTGCCCCCTTGAGGCAGTCGCTGCGCTGCGTCAGGCTTGGATCAGTGGGCATTAGCTCAGCTCCAGCTCACCAAACCAGAGCAAAGCAGCCTAGGCCCAGTGTCCACACACCAACACCCGACCTGCATTGTTCCATACCTACTGGACTGGCACGACGCACACCACACAAACCTCCGCCCGCCGCCCACCGCCCACCGCCCACCGCCCACCGTCCCATCGTCTCCAGCCCAAGCCCCGGGTCCAGGTCTACGCTACCCTCACCACACCTCATACCATACCATAACCATAACCATACCATACCATACCGTACCGAACCCCCGACCCCAAGCATCCCCCATCCCGTCTGCATAGACAACCTGCGCGTCATCGTCGCCGCTGCCCCAGCCTGCCCGTCCCGACCGCAACCACGACACACATCTCTCTGACCACCGCCGCCGCCGCCGCTGCTGCTGCTGCTGCTGCCGTCGCCGCCCTCTTCGTGCCATCCCATCCCATCCCATCCCATCCCACCCCGTTTCTCTGATCCACCCGCCGTCCTCACTGACTGACCGACAAACCCACCCCGTCCTCTTCGGATACCCGACCCTCCCAAGAAGCTTTGCCTGCCCTGCCCTGCCCTGCCCTGCCTTGCCTCGCCGAGCCCAGCCCAGCCCAGCCCAGGTCAGGTTCCCGCCAGCATCAACCAGCGCCCCGGCCCACGACCGCATTGAAGCTCATCGGCCATTGCTACGACCATGGTGGATGTAGACACGAACTCTCCCACGTGGAAGTTCACTCAGTGAGCACCCCTCCCGCCCTCGTCCCTCGTGGCCCGACTGCTCCAAGCCCCGCGATGCTGACCCTGCTTCCCCTCCTCCAGGTGTTTCGGCGACAAGGGCGATGTTGAAGACATCACAGAAGGTGAGCTTCCACCAACCCGGGCGCCCATGCGTGGTCCCGGCCGCGGTCTGTCCCTCTGGCTGCCCGCCGCCGCTCGGCCTGTTCTTGTGTCATCGGCCCTCGTGCCCTGCTGCTGGATCATCCCGTGCTGCATGCTAACTGCTCCTCTGCCCAGCTGATATCATATCGACGGTCGAGTTCGATCACACGGGCAACTACCTGGCCACCGGAGACAAGGGCGGACGTGTCGTGCTATTCGAGCGGAACGAGACGGTCAGTCCATGCCTCGCACCCGCGTGCACACGACCCAGCTGACAGGGCGCAGAAAAAAACATGTGAATACAAGTTCCATACCGAGTTTCAGTCACACGAACCCGAGTTTGACTACCTCAAGTCGCTAGAGATTGAGGAGAAGATCAACAAGATCAAGTGGTGCCGTCGCCAGAACGCCTCGCATTACCTGCTATCGACAAACGACAAGACAATCAAGCTCTGGAAGGTCTTTGAGAAGTCGCTGAAGGTCGTCGCCGAGAACAACCTCACCCATGACCCGACACCGGGGAACGCGCTCGGTGTAGGCGGAGGCGCCCCGCGGGCGAGCCCGTCGGCCGCCCACTTCAAGAACGCCAGCGACCTCAGACTGCCGCGTCTGACGCATCACGACACCGTCGTGGCCGCCGTCCCGAGGCGCACCTACGCCAACGCCCACGCCTACCACATCAACAGCATCTCGGTCAACAGCGACGGCGAGACCTTTATCAGCAGTGATGACCTGCGGATCAACCTGTGGAACCTCAACATCCAGGACCAGAGCTTCAACATTGTCGACATCAAGCCCGCCAACATGGAGGAGCTGACTGAGGTCATCACCGCCGCCGAGTTCCACCCACAGAGCTGCAACTGGTTCATGTACGCGAGCTCCAAGGGCACCATCAAGCTCGCCGATATGCGGGAGAGCGCTCTGTGTGACCAACACGCCAAGCGTACGTTCTGTTCTGTCCTGCATTTTCCGTCGAGGCGGCTGCGGGCCTAGTTGACGTGATCCCAATGCTGATGACTAACCTACTTTGTAGTATTCGAACAAGAGGAAGACCCCTCGTCAAGGTCTTTCTTCTCGGAGATCATTTCCTCCATCTCCGACGTCCGCTTTTCTCACGACGGTCGGTACATTCTCTCGCGAGACTATCTGACCGTCAAGATCTGGGACGTGAACATGGAGCGCCAGCCGGTCAAGACCATCCCTATTCATGAGCACCTTCGGCCGAGACTCTGCGATACATACGAGAACGACAGCATCTTCGACAAGTTCGAGGTCGTCTTCTCGGGCGATGCCAAGAATGTCATGACGGGCAGCTACAACAACAACTTCATGATCTACCCCTCCGATCCGGATAAGGAGATGGAGGTAGTCTTACAGGCAGACAAGTCGGCGTTCAAGGCAAAGAAGGTGGGTGTAGCTACGCCCATCAACGCCTCAGGAAGCCCGGCGACGAATGGCGGCAAGAAGGGGGGATCCCGTGCTGGCAGCCCAGCAGCTGGGGCAGGCCAGGGGCAGCGTATGCGCAAGGAGACCGATGCCGACCAGATTGATTTCAACAAGAAGATTCTGCACATGAGTTGGCATCCGTTTGAGGACAGCATCGCCATTGCCGCGACGAACAACGTAAGCCATGACCACCATCTTATCTCGAGACCAAGACTCCGGGATTCCCTGCTGACATTGACACAGCTTTTCGTCTTCTCGGCACTGTAAAACACAGGGCAAACCCCTCCTGTGGCTTGCCTTGCTGTTCATCGCCACGGTCCTGTGTCAGGTCCTCCCGGGTGGGTTGACTCGAATTGACTGCTGCAGTCACACAGACGGTCTCTTACTCTCCCTGTGCTACCCGGCCTCTCTCCTACTTGATTAGATGTTGGCATAGGCAACCACCAGGTTTCCTCATGGTGCTGGCTTCGGGCTGCTAAACCCCCCCTGTTGGACGGGTCAGCCCTGGCAGGGTTTGAGCAAGGATGACCAACGCGGAATCGCGATCGAAAGGTGGGAAATGGAACCTTTGGTCTGGTGATCAGGATGCATGGTCTGCTCGGGGGGGTTGAGGATTGTGCACATGAGCCATGACCAACAGCGGTGGCTCAGGCTCGGCAAGGGAATCCAGAATGGGCTGGTGGCGTTGGAATGGACGCCGACCATCGATATAGACGTTTACAGGCAGACCATAAGTACTGGGAATGACCAAAGGCAAATCCAATTGCAAAGCATGCTAGCGTGTATCGATGGTAACTGAGGTTCGACGTAAAGAGGTGCCAGTGCGTGCGCAATGCATGATGTATTGCCAGGAGGGCTCCTGGCACCTGCGGCCTGCCTCCAGCTCCAGACCTAGCCTCCATCTTAGACTCATGCCCCCTTCTCGATACCTGATAGTTACAGACCGGCAGTCATTCTCCCGCAAAAGTAGGCCGTACACGATGCCATCCATCTACCCGACCACTACCCCGAGGCGGGCTGAATGGACCTACAGGCCACGGAGAGCATCCTTCAAAGTTTGCACGCACCACCAGCCCAGACAGCTTCTGCTCTTGCGTCTCATGACTCCGGCCCACGGCTTCTCAAGACGTCGGCCACAACCTCCGGATGCCGGGCCCGGTTCCACACAAAGTCGGAACCTCCGCATACCATACTATGTAGTATCGTAGCTTAGTGCGGCTGCGGCTCTGCAAGCCTGCCTGCCTACCTTGTGTGTACGCGGCATCGGTCGACTGGCTGGTCTAACCCAGTTGACCTGGTTAGGCGCCAGCGCGATCGAACGAACGAACGAACAAGTCCTCCCTTTCGCGCATCCGATGCGGTCAAGCCGGCCTAATAAATTGAACCGTCTGCCACAGCAATCCATGGACAGTGGGCGGTGGGCGGGGCTATGGATCTCGACGGAGCAGACCAATGGCGTGCAGCACGACCCCTCCATCCCATCACGGCCGGGCGGCGGGCCGAACAGGACTTTCCCTCAGGCCCCAGGGGTCGCCAGGCTCTGTTCAGAAATTGGATCCGGCACTTGAAATTGGAGGGGTGCTCTTCTGAAAATTGCATGTGTTGCGCCTTATGGCCACTTGGCCCATTGGGATCCCAGCAAGCTTGTGATGTCACGCGACGACGGCCGAGATGCGATGTGAGCTCCAGCACATACATAAGACATACACACACACACACACACACACGCACACACACACACATCCACACACACCCGGGATGCACGGCTTGGATGCAACAATCCATTCGTGCCGTGTGCCTCCCTTGAGAGAGATGGATGGGGCTGTTTCCAAGCTTGTACTGTGGTAAGCGTCGTCGATCCCGACTGCAGCCCACCGCGAAGCTTATTTGGGAATAAACAAGGGGCCATGAACATGGACATGGACCTGGACTTTCTCGTTTCCCATGGCCGTGGCCAAGGCCAAGGAAGAAGGGAACCTCGGGACTGGATTGGATTGGGTTGGGTTGGACTGGACATGGGCAGTTTGGAACTGACAGAGCGCGTGGAGCCCCCCTTCTTATTGCCAAATCAGCACGACAGGGTCCCACGTATCGAAATACATCACTTTCCAAGGTGGGATTCCAATACATCAACCAGCTTTCCGGCCCTGCCATGTGTGCGCCGCTCTGCCATTACGTATTCAATTGCTTTCCTTTTCTTGCGTCCTGTTCCCTTCTAGGCTTTTCTTGACCCTCCTGTCCTTCCCTGGAACCCCGCGACCACCCAGACATTTGTGTTTATTGCACGGCGACATCCCACGCTGGACTCGGTCACACATCCGCCGCCGCCGCGTCCATAGCAGCGCCAACGTGCATGTGGCCTCAGCCGCCCTGTCTCGCCTCCGGCCTGTGAAGCGTGTGAAACATCCACCCACCCACCTCCTCCCGTGTCCCGTGTCCCGTGTCCCGTGTCCCGTGTCCTCGCAGTCGTCTGAACTCGGCAGCCTTCCTGCCCTGTTCCCTCCACAACCCCCATGACTTCCCGATCCGTGGCGAGACGACGCCAGACCCTCCGAGAAACCCACGCCGTGCAGAAGAATGGCGACGCCATGACGCCCAAGGTCATCAACGCCGGGCCCTCGCTCGAGAAGGCCCAGCTGTACGGGATTTCCGACCAGCGGACCGCCTTTTCCAAGTTCATGGGCCTCGCCGGCCGCATCTTCATCGAGACGATACCGCAATGGCTAGCCGTCGGCGCCATGCTCAGTCTGATCTTCGGCGGCTGCTGTTCGAATGTAAGAGAGAGAGAAGCAGAGAGAGCACCGAAAGAACCACATCCCCTTACCGCAGTGTTGTCCCTTGGAACGTGAAAGCACACGGCGGCTGACGCGGAACATGCAGGTCTTTGCGCTCGAAGCAATCATCAAGTGAGTCTCTTGGTACTATATATAGTATTACTGGATACCGTTCGCCTGTCCCCCTTCGGCCACGAGGCTAACTCTGCGCGTCCACAGGGTCGAACCAGCTAGCGGTACGATGCGGCGAACCCAAAGTGAAAGCCCTGCTGGAGATATGCGCTTACGTTTACCCTCGTAGGAACGCTGCTCACGTTTGTCCAATTCCTCTTCGTGGCAGTCACCGGCTACGTCTCCCAGTTCGACCCGAAACGCCCCCCGTTCTTCATAGCGCCGAACAAGGTCCCCATCCGCCGTTGGCTCATCAACATTGTGCTGTTCTTCAGCATCAACGTCCTGAACAACCACGCCTTCAGTTACGATATATCCGTGCCCGTTCATATCATCCTTAGGTCCGGCGGAAGCATCACCACCATGATTGCGGGGAGCTTGTGGGGGAAGAAATACTCGCGAATCCAGATCGTGGCCGTGCTGCTCCTTACCGTCGGGGTCATCACGGCCGCCTTCTCGGACGCGCAGTCCAAGGCAAGCAGACAGCGCCACGCGGGGGTCGTACGGAGTTTCGTGTGAGGGCTAACATGTGTATATACGCTTCAGGGCACTACGGCTGAAGGATCGCACGGGCCCGCGCCCAGCTTCAGTACGGGGCTCGTCATCCTCTTTGTGGCGCAAGTCTTGTCGGCCATCATGGGCCTGTACACGGAAGAGACGTACAAGAAGTACGGAGGCCACTGGAAGGAGAACCTGTTCTACTCTCATCTGCTCTCGCTGCCGCTGTTCCTGCCGTTCAGCGCGTCGCTGTACAGACAGTTCATGCGACTGGTCGACAGCCCGCCGCTGACACTGCCTGCCTACACGGAGCAGATGGTGCTCCCGTCCAACCTTGGCGACAACTTCTGGGCGGGTCTGAAGCAGGTCCACATCCCGAGCCAGGTCGTGTTCCTGGCGCTCAACGTGCTCACGCAGTACGCCTGCATCCGCGGCGTCAACCTCCTGGCCGCGGTGTCGTCGGCGCTCACGGTCACGATCGTACTGAACATCCGCAAGCTAGTCAGCCTGCTGCTCAGCATCTGGCTGTTCGGAAACCGGCTGGCGCCCGGGACGCTCGTCGGAGCGGTGGTGGTCTTCTCTGCGGGCGCTCTCTATTCCCTGGACTCGGGCGGCCGATCGTCGGCGCCGAGACACAAGAGCTCGGCGGTCAGCAAGGCGGGCTAGCCCGGGTGTGCTGGTGCGGTTTGTACTATCTGGATTCGGATAGGGCGGGGGAAAGCGAAGCAAGAGCAAGTCACAGCAGAGCAGAGCAACAAGACGCCAGACCAATTGAAAATTACCATCCAAGAAAACAGTGTTTTGATTGCACCGTGCTGAAGGACAGATGGCACTCCGCTGTCTTCTGTGTCCCACGTTCCATATGCCATATTCCAAGCTCCGCGTTTCTGCGCTCTGTTTTGTCTGCCAGTGTCCGGCTAGGGCCCGCGACTGGTTTGTTTGTACAGAATATAGAACGACGGTCACAGACTCAGGCGAGGCGAAGGGAGTGATGCGAGAGGGCACGAGCCGTGAGTCAGCGAATATCCTAAATACCTGCTCGTCGTGGAGCAAAACCGCGTGGCAGCATCATGTTCAAAGCGATGTATATGTTTATACACCTGCTTAGAGTTGGTTGGTAAATAGGGACAATATTATAGTATGTAGGAAGGCAGCCGGGCACCAACACCGCCGCCACCACCACCGCAACGCCAAAAACAACACCACAAAGCAAGTGGTCGCCGGTTTCGTATTGCGCTCCTCATCACGTGGGCGATTGAGATGATTAGAAAGACTGGACGGCAGTTGGTTGGCTCATTAACGCGCGACAAGGGGGGGGCAGGGGGAGGTGGGCAGCTCCAGCGCGCGTCAATGCAACTTTAGCTCCCGCGCCCGACACAACGGTACAGGACGCTGAGGACCTACCGTAGGTAACTGGAAGTATCCTTCATGGGATGACTGGCTCCTAAATACTCAAATAGTGTACGCTGTACCTACCTCAAAATAGCCGTCGTTGGCGGTCCAATGTTCTGCGCTGGGCTCGCCCCAGGTTACCAACCAAGCCAGGCGACCTGCTGTACATTGGGCTCGCTAGCTCTGTAATACCTCGAGGTAAGTAGAGGTACGGTAACGCAGGTACAGCGTCCCATTACAAGGGGAGACAGCACTACCTTGGCTGCTGGCAGTACCTATGTAGTTAGGTGCAGGATGGGTGGATGGGTGGATGGGTGTCATGTAGTCATGTAACGACTTGGCCTGGCGTTTGTGGAGCGTCCTGGTGGTGGCTGCAGATGCCACATGCGAACAAACCTTAAACGGGGTCGGGTCAATGACTCAGGAAAGTGTATTCCCTCCAAAGTTGGATTTGGGGTAGATAGCCTGTTGATTGATTGATTGATGATCCCCGATCCGGGAGCGAGTTGGAGAGGCTATGAGAGCGAAAGACGTAATGCTTGCCTGCCGTGGCCTTGACGCCCCAGGGGGGCGGGGGGGTGACGATACACAGGAGTTGAGTGTTGGGCAGATCGTGGGTGATGCCCGGATGTCGCTGTTGGAGAGAGCTGCGTTACCCTGCTGTAGGGTGTCGTTCGACGTACACAGTAACTTGGATATCGTGAGACTGGTAACCTTGTGTGGAGAACCGCCACGCGTTGCACACTTTAGTGCCTACGCTCCGGTAGACGGTAGACGGTAGAAGGTAGACGGTAGAAGGTAGATGGTAGATGGCCACCCCACCCCGCAGCCCAGCCCAGCCCAGCCCTAACCCAATCCAACGCCGACAGGACAGGGGACAGGGGGACAGGGGGACAGGGGCCCCGGGCCTAGCATTCCCCATTACCTAGGTATGCTATCTGGCGCCAAGCTTGCCCGCGCCGACGACTTTCTCTTCGCGGCGCAGGCGATATCCGAATCGACAGCGACCCAAGACTTGTGTTCCTCTCTTCGGCCCCGGCCGATAATCATACAGGTACGAGACAGCAACTCACCCCCCGGCCGCTGCGTCAGAGGTCAGAAAGGACTTCCGTTGCCGCTCGACTTGCCGCCGAGCACAGCAGCACCTGGGTTCTGTCCTGTTCGTTTCGTACAGGGTCGCCCAACGCTCACTCCCCGCCCACCTTGCAGTAGACATCGTCCTACGATGGAGCCGCCTTCCGAGTCGACCTCGCCCCAGCAGCTGGCACACCTGAATCCCCCCGACGACGACGACGACGACGACCTCCACTCCCAGGCCATCGGCACCGAGTCCGACGCCGGCCTCGACCTGGACCTCGACCACGAGCACGAACAGGACCGTGACCGTGACCATGACGAGCCCCAGGGCCCCGCCGATGACCAAGGCCCTGCCGCCGAGGGCATGCTGCCGCGCGATGTTCCCAAGCGCACCGCCTTCTACGACCCCGTCGCCGAGCGCCAGATGACCCAGACCGACGCCAAGCTGTTCTACCAGCGAAGCCAGCAGAGGGGAGACACGAGCAGTTGGGGCCAGTCCCAGGCCACGCCCCAGGGCAGTCCCGTCATCTCCACCGGCCACTCGAGGATACACGACGCTGCCTTCCACGCCGCTCAGCTGCCGCCCACCTCTCACCCGTACTCCCCAAACGTCGGCACGAGTGCCGCCTCCGTCGACCTCACTTCCCGTCCCGGTCCCGGTTCCAAGACCTCCCGTCCCCCCTTTCAGCCGGCCCGCCCGAGCTACAACACGCTGCCAAATCTTGGTGGCTCCTTCAGCAAGCCGATAGCCCTGGAGGGCGAGCCGGCCCCGCGTACCGCCACACGGCCCTCGCTCAGTGGCCACCATGCTCCCGAGTCCTACGTGGCCATGGCCCAGGAATCCCCCCGGGGGCATTCTTTTGACCGCCTCGAGCCCAACATGGGCCTGCCCGACTCCGCCAGCGTTGGTATAGGCGATGGCTTCGCCGACTCGGATCCCCACATCGCCGCCGAGCTCAGCACCATCTTCAGGAATATCCAGAAGATTGTCGACATCCGCCACCGCTACATCAGGCTCTCTCTGCAGCGGGACGGGGACAACCCCAAGGACGATCCCAGCTGGGATATCTACCCCCCACCCCCGGAGCCGGCCTGGGTCGGACCTCATACGACGAGGGCGAACACGACAAGTAACAGCCTGAGCGGTAGCGTGGTGCTGCCTTCCAACGCGGAGAACCATCGGCCTGCCGCAGACTTGACCGCCGCAGCCTCGGAGGCGGCGCAGAAGAAGGCGTTCAAGAAGCGAAAGCCGGGTCACGATATCGGCGAGGACTTCGACATGGATGACGTGTCTCCTCTTCCCGCATCAAGCGAGTTCACCTTTCGGCTCGACGAGAATGGCGTTTATCAGGTCTACGAAAACAGCGGCGCCGAGAAGGCCAACACGCCCATTGTCGGCGTGCCCACCATCAAGGACTTCTACATGGACCTCGAGACCATTCTCACCACCTCGTCCGACGGGCCGAGCAAGAGTTTCGCCTTCAGGCGCCTGCAGTACTTGGAGGGCAAGTTCAACCTCTATGTGCTCCTAAACGAGTACCAGGAGACCGCCGACAGCAAGAGGGTTCCGCACCGAGACTTCTACAACGTGAGAAAGGTGGACACGCACGTTCATCACTCGGCCTGCATGAACCAGAAGCACCTTCTGCGCTTCATCAAGAGCAAGATGAAGAAGTGCCCCGATGAGCCCGTCTTGATTCGAGACGGCAAGCTGCTCACGCTGGCAGAGGTCTTTGAGAGTATCAACCTCACTGCCTACGACCTCAGCATCGACACGCTGGACATGCACGCCCACACCGACTCATTCCACAGGTTTGACAAATTCAACCTCAAGTACAACCCCATCGGAGAGTCGCGTCTAAGGACCATCTTTCTCAAGACGGACAACCACATCAAGGGCCGTTACCTAGCCGAGATCACCAAGGAGGTCATTGCCGACCTGGAGTCCAGCAAGTACCAGATGGTTGAGTGGCGCATCTCCATCTACGGCCGATCACTGGACGAGTGGGACAAGCTTGCCGCCTGGGTCGTCGATAACAAACTCTTCTCCCACAACGTCCGTTGGCTGATCCAGATCCCACGGCTATACGACGTGTTCAAGGCAACCGGCGCCATGGAGAGTTACGAACAAGTCGTCAAGAACGTCTTCCAGCCCTTGTTCGAGGTGACCAAGGACCCGGAGAGCCACCCCAAGCTCCACATATTCCTGCAGCGTGTCATTGGTTTCGACAGCGTCGACGATGAGAGCAAGGTTGAGCGGAGGTTGTTCAAGAAGTACCCGGTGCCAAAGGAATGGGACACCAAGCAAAACCCGCCGTACAGCTATTGGATCTATTATCTGTTCGCCAACATGACTTCGCTGAATGTCTGGCGCCGGCACCGTGGGTTCAACACCTTTCTCCTCCGTCCGCACTGCGGCGAAGCTGGTGACAGCGAACATCTTGCTATTGCCCTGCTGTGCAGTCACAGTATTAGCCACGGTCTGCTTCTCCGGAAGGTTCCATTGCTCCAGTACATCTTCTACTTGGAGCAGATCGGCATCGCCATGTCCCCTCTGAGCAATAACGCTCTATTTCTCGCATACGAGAGGAACCCGTTCCACCAGTACTTCAGGCGTGGTCTTAACGTCTCCCTATCCACGGACGATCCTCTGCAGTTCGCCTTCACGAAGGAGCCATTGATGGAAGAGTACGCCGTCGCGGCGCAGATCTATAAGCTGAGCCCAGTCGACATGTGTGAGCTGGCCAAGAACTCGGTCAAGCAGAGTGGCTACGAGTTCTCGGTCAAACAGCAATGGCTGGGAGATAACTTTCACATTCCTGGAAGAGAAGGGAACAGCATGGTGAAAACCAACGTTCCCGACAGGAGGGAGGAGTTCCGTTATCATACTTGGGTTGAGGAACATCAAATGTAAGTAGGAGGGCGGGACTGCGGAAGGGGTACACGCTGACTTTTGGCTTTTTTCCCCCTGTACTAGGATATCAAGATATACCCAGCCAGAAAAAGCTGCCTCGAGGGATGCTGCCCCAGAACAGCGGGCCGCGGCGCAGGTCGGCACACCATCTACGTCCAAGGGCGTGCCTCTCCTGGAGACCAAGGTGCCCATCCCTGCACACCACGAAAGCACCAAGACGTATTCCAGCAGTCCTTCGCACACCACGCCGACGACCGGGGCCAAGTCTGCGCATGAGGGCCCGGCATCGGGGTCGCCACAGTCGGCGTCGCACCGCGAGCCTCACGCTCAGTGGTCAGCGGATGGGTTTAGGGAGACCCACCTGTCCGGGCACGAGCCGAGATACTTCCCGGGAATGATGGCGCGGGCGTCACGGCGCGATAGTATGCGTCAGGGCTCGATGCATGATTCGGACGATGTCGCCTCGACGCGCAGCGCGCCTAAGCGGAGCGGTGCCCGAGAGGAACCGTCCTAGCCGGATGATGTCTCGACCTCGGAGTTGGCTCCTGGTGCCTATCAAACTTTGAAGGCGATATGAGCTTGCGCTCATGGGTCCGGCGGAGGGGGAAGGAGGGATAAGCAAGGGATGAATCGCCTTGTGAGAGTTTCCGTTTTCGCGAACCACATGTCAGGGGGCGAGGGAAGGCGGCGCACAGGTACATGGGCCAGAGGTTGGGATTCTGGCTTGCAAGGAATTTCGTAGCCTTGGTTCACTACCAGTGGTGGTGATGCAACTTATGAGATGCTGTGTGACGCACAAGATAGACAAACCAAAAACGGGTTGCGATAAAAGCATTGTGTAGAGGCGGCAGACGTCCAGACGTAGACGCGAGTTTGCATTTTCCGACCTATCCAACATCGCATACTCTCCGCATGGCGTTGGGACCCGACGTGTTAGTGAACCATGATCAAGAATTAGCCGCAAACTACATAGGATCTTTGGGAAACCCAATTGACGGCTTACATGGGGTGAAGTATACTTGTTTCTGTGTCTACGTCTAGACTTGAGTGATTGACATGTGTGTATGTACATGGCAAGACCAGAACCAGAACCCAGAAGAGAGAGAAAGAGAGAGAGAGAGAGAGAGAGCGTATACAGTTTTGTCGGAACTATAAACATAATGCAGCGATTGATGACAATGCATTCACTCGAGAGCCAAGAAAAAGCTGCCAGGAGGCGCAAGACGGCATTGATTGGTTCGTCTTGGGTGGCATTAACTCATAGAGGGGACCAGGACCCAGACAGCCAGAGACCAAGGCGCGCCCCAAAAGAACGCCAAGACCCAAGGAGACCCGCCATTACCTCACGCCGCCGCAAACCTCCAGCCGGGACCAGCCTGACCAGCCAGACCAGCCAGACCAGCCAGACCAAGGCCAGCCTCTGGTTTACCCTAGGTTGGTTAGCATCGCCCTCCGGCTTCTTCTCTCTCCTGACTTGACGAGACTCGGCCAGCGGCAGCCCAAAGGTGTCCGACGACGACGACGTACGACGACGACGACTACTCGCGTCAATTCCCCAGAAGCCCACAGCACACCAGCACACCAGCACACACACACACACATACACAACTACACACATACACACACCTAGCTACCTAGGTATCTACCTTCATCCGCTACGCCCAGCTCAGCTCAGCTCTGTGCAGCGCAGCCCAGGCCAGGCCAGGCCAGGATCCGAACCAGACTCCCCGCGGCCAGACTGGTGGCATGCCGTTTCACCCTGCATCGCGAGCAGAACGACTTGTCCGGCCGCTCGCCCAACGTGTTATGCGTCTGCCGGGTGCCGTCTGAATCCCCAATTCACCCACCCCCCCAGATCCCCCATCGACCCCCAGCCCCGATCCTGCGCAGCCGCCCCCATCTGCCTCTCCCTCTGCCTCTCCCTCCCCCTCCTGCCCTTTGACCAACCGAAGAAGCCATGGGGTTCCTCGGCGTCTACAAGGCCGTGTACGACTACGAGCCCCAGAGCGAGGGCGAGCTGGCCATCACCGAGGGCGACCTGCTCTACGTCCTCGAAAAGGATGGCGAGGACGACTGGTGGAAGGCCAAGAAGAAGGCCGCCGCCGACGATGACGACGAACCCACGGGTCTGATCCCGAACAACTACGTCGAAGAGGTACGCCACCCCCTTTCCCCTCTTCTCATGATATTCTACTCCTTCCCCTCCGCTTCTCCCTGTCTTGCGTCTACTTGGGCATGAGCCTGAAGGAGAGATGAGCTAACTCGTTGCGCCCCCTCCGCCCGCAGGCCCCCGTCATCAGCGCAGCACGCGCCCTCTACGATTATACCCGCCAGACCGACGAGGAGATATCATTCTCCGAGGACGCCAAGCTGCAGGTCTTTGACACCTCGGATCCCGACTGGATCTTGGTCGGCGCCGACGGCGATTATGGCTTCGCTCCGGCCAACTACATAGACATGGGCGACGCCGCGGAACAGGAGGAAGAAGACGAAGCAGAGCCCGAGCCCGAGCCCGCGCCCGCCCCTGCGCTCCCGTCCTTGCCGCGACCTGAGCCCGCAGCTCCGCCTTTACCGCCCTCACTCCCCGTCCGCCCCCCCGTCTCCGCCGAACCCGAAGAGCCTCCCAGCCCTGCTCTGCCTGCCCGACATGCCTCGGTGGCATCGGAGCCGAGCCCGGTCGCCCCTGCCGCCGCCCTCGCCGGTGTTATGCAGGGCAGGTCGTCAACGAGAGCCCCGACGCCCCCTCCCATCGTCGTGCCACCGCGCCAGCAGTACCTGTCGGAGGAGTCGGAAGACGAGCCCAGCCCTGCTTTGCCCGTGCGTCCTCGCTCGCAGTCGGCCCTATCTAACGACCAGTCTCTGGCATCCCCCTCTCTGGCATCCCCCTTGCCGCAGCGGACCAGCAGTCGCCGGGTCAGGGAATATGAGGACGACCATCCGGTGCGCGATCACGGCAAGATTGCCCCGGGGGGCTTTCACATGTACAATATCAACGAGATGGTCTCGGTCATGGGCAAGAAGAAGAAGATGCCCACGACACTCGGGGTCAACTTGAAGACGGGACTTATACTGATCGCGCCGGAGCGACCTTCTGACGGGCCTACGCAGGAGTGGTCGGCCGATAAGATGACACACTACTCACGAGAGGGCAAGCACGTGTTTTTGGAAGTGGTGCGCCCCAGCAGGAGCATCGACTTTCACGCCGGCGCCAAGGACACTGCCGCAGAGATCGTCAGCGCCCTGGGCGAGCTGTCGGGCGCCATCCGCGCCGAGGGTCTACGGGAGGTCATCATGGCCGGCACCGGCCATGCCAGCCAGAAGAAAGGCGTCATCCTCTACGACTTCATGGCCCAGGGAGACGACGAGGTTACCGTGGCGGTTGGGGACGAGGTCATCGTCATAGACGAGCACACAAGCGAGGAGTGGTGGACAGTTCGCCGACTCAAGAACGGCAAGGAGGGCGTCGTGCCCAGCAGCTACATTGAGGTCACCGAGACCATCACATCGCCGACCGCGGCTTCCACTTCGGGCATCAATGCCGGACGCTCTACCGTTGCCCAGAACCGCCTGGAGGAGCAGCGTTTGACGAAGGAGGCCCTCAAGAAAGATCAGAAAACAGCAGAGGTAGGACCTGGGATGCGTTTGCCCGACAGAAAAAGTAGTTTGTCAGCTTGGGACCATGGTAACCAATCTGATCAGCAGCGAAGCAAGCGCGAAAGCGGTCGAACCGAAGCCAGCGGCAGTCGGTCCTCATCCTCCAAGTCAAGTGAGTTGTTGTCTTTTGCTGTTCCCTCCCCAAGGCACGAAGCAAGTGAAGAGAGAATCCCTCTGAGCTGACACCTCCACTCCAGAACCCGACCCTTCGAAGACTCGAGTTTGGACGGACCGGAGCAAGTCCTTCAGCGTCGAGGCTCAGTTCCTCGGCGTCAAGGACGGAAAGATCAACCTCCACAAGGTGAACGGTGTCAAGATTGCCGTGCCGGTGGCCAAAATGTCGGTCAAGGACCTCGAGTACGTTGAGCTCATCTCTGGTATCTCCCTCGACGAGGACAGGCCCCTGTCCGACGTGAAGCGAGCTCAGACGACGAGAAACAAGGCACAGGCCAAACAAGAGGCTGCCAAGGTTGGCGCATCGATTGAGCCTCCCAAGTCCGACTACGACTGGTTCCAATTCTTCCTGTCGTGTGATGTCGCCGTCGGACTTTGTGAGAGGTATGCGCAGTCTTTCGCCAAGGATTCCATGGACGAGAGCGTCCTGCCGGACGTGGATGCTAGTGTCTTGCGGAATCTGGGCCTTCGAGAGGGCGACATCATCAAGGTCATGCGCTACTTGGACAAGAGGTACGGCCGGGACGGCAAGAAGAGAAACGTGAGTTTCGCCGGGGACGACGAGGGAGATGGTGCATCGGGCGGCCTGTTCTCGGGTCCCGGTGGTACACTACGAAACAATACTCGAAAAGGACGGCCTGCCCCGGCCGTGGAGACAAACAACACGGTTGATGCCAAGGCGCTCTCTCTGGGTAAGGACACAAGTGCGGATAGTTCGTCAGCATCGTCACCTGCCGCATCCCGGCCGGCGGCGACGGGGAAGAGCGCCGGCGGCTTTGATGACGATGCCTGGGATGTGAAGCCGTCAAAGCAGCCGGAGGCCAAGCCCGCCCCGACCCCGGTGACGGCGGCGGCGGCGGCCCCTGAGCCGAAGCCGGTTGCTCAAGAAGCACCGAAGCCACCGCCTACGCAAGGCCTGCTGGATCTGTCGCTTCTCTCGCAGCCCCTGGAACCCGAGAAGGTACAGCCAACGCCCCCATCACAGCCACAGATTGTTCAACCTCCGCCTCAGCCCGCTCCTCAACAGCAGCCTCCTACAAGCCAGCCTCAAGGTGCGACCCCAGGCTTCTTCACTAGCCTTGCCCAGCAGCAGACCGGCATTGCGACCATGCCGACTGGACAGCCATTGAACTTGGGGCTCGGCGGCAGTCGCCAACGACCTCTGGCCCCTCAGATGACACAAGGCCAGCCTGGGTTGGTGCCTCCTCCGCCTGCTCGGCCACTGTCCGCACCGCAATCTGCGCAGCCCAGTGGATTTGCACCACCTCCGTTGCAGCCTCAGATGACGGGCATTGCTCCCCCGGGTCAGAGCATGAACGACCTCGCCCAGCAGCAGAGGATGCAGCAGCAGCAGCAGCAATACATGGGTGGCTTCCAGCCGCAACCTACCGGCCAAGGTATGATGGGTTTCAATGCAGGCGTAGGCATGCAGCCGCAGCCTACAGGATTTGGGGCAAACCAGTTCATGCAGCCTGCCATGACGGGCGCACCGCAGATGCAGCAAAGACCCTTCGGCGATCCGCGCCCGCAGCAGTTCTCGCCCGTCCAGGCGCAGCCCACCGGCTTCCCGGGCGCCTTCAACAACCCCGGACAGCAATTTCAGCCCGGTGGTGGCGTCAACTCGTACCTGCCGCCTGCCATGGAACCCCAGAGGACAGGCATGCCGCAGATGCAGCCTGCAATGCAACCCCAGCAGACCGGATTCGGCGGGGGCTTCGGCACGGGTTTCAACCCGGGCATGGGCAACCACCAGCAGCAGCAGCAGCCGCTGCCGCCACCAGCCGCTCCTCTCCAGCCGCAGCAGACTGGGCCTGCTCCCCCGGTCCGATTTGGTGTGCCGGACAAGATCGTGCCACAGGCGACCGGTCGCCGTGCGAATCTCGCACATGCAAGTAAGTGAAGCCCATATAGCAACAGACTACTTTACTTGTTTCGGTCACGACTCTAATCAGTTCTAGCTCCACAAAACCCATTTGGATTCTGAACGACGTATCAGAACTGAAGTGTGGTCAACTTCAAGAGGTGATATGTACCCCTGGGGTGTTAGACACGGTAGTAGCTGGTGCTCTCTGGTTTCTCCTTTGATCCCCGCAATCTCTCGGAACGTGTCGATAGCCCGCCGCTCTCGGCTCGTTCTCGACCCTACCTACCCCATACCATATCTATGTTAGGGCAGCTTCCCAGGCATTGGCGACATCAGCGAGAGCTTGGATTGGTGGTCGCATGACTTGGTAACGAAGCGAGGGCGCGGAGTCAAATGATTGATGAGCGTAGTTGGAAATTTAGACGTTGCTTGAGGCCATAGCCTCATAGCGTAAAGATCAGAACGGAGGCCCCTTGTGTACAGTGGCGTGGGCGGTATGGATGAACTGGGCGACGTTGCTGCGTGCACGAGTCCATGGCACATAAACTTCATAGTAATATTCACATTGTCCCCTAGCTATATCTTTTTTTATTCATTCCAATTTAATCTTCTGGAGTTGTTGAGTATGTTCGTCGAAACGACCAGCTGTCCCACAGACCTTCCCCGAGCCCCTTGAACCGCTGCTGTAGCTCCGGTGTGGCCGACCTCTTATGTTATTTGACTGACTTGAGGAAGCGTCGTGAAGGCAGGTTTTCCCCGGAATACATGCATCTGGTTGCGGAGATTTCGACTATAATGGAGAGAGTTCAGAGTTCAGGGTCATCAACAGCGAAAGGCTATGGAAAGGATAGCCGATATAACGCGCAAGTATAACTCGGCCGCCGATGCTGTGATCTGGTCCTTTTTTAAGTAATAATAAAATTCGAGCTTTATGTGATGAGGTCGCAGGTGTGTCAGTAGCCATTTCGTGGGGTTGCGCGGGGAAGGGTGGCATGGTCTTCGGAAGCACACGATGGTGCAGCATGAAGTGTTTCCGACCAGATGATCCCGAGGCCCGCGCCGGCTAGACCACCTCGATGCTGCGAAACTCTGTAACTCTGAGACACTTTCATGATCAGACGAGTCGAACCATGTTTTGCCACGCCTGCACACCCGGAAGCATGGGCCGGGACGGAGGGCATGGACGTCAGTCAGCCAAACACAAGCGCAAAACACCCGAAGCCAGTGCAGAAAGTGTCAAAACTCACGACGCCAGGGTTGATCGCTCGCGGTTGGGCCATCAAGAAGTATCCCCCCTTTGCTGCTGAGCAGCTTGGATGCCTGTTCGACACCCGGGGATTCGCCCATCTCCCGCACGCATGGTGATCATTGCTAATCGCGTAGAAACATGCACCATGGGGCAACCTGGTCTGGTTCGCGAAGGGCAGGCATCACGCTACGAAGCAGCACAGCATTAGAAGGTGGAAGCCAACAGCCTTTTCTCCTCCCCAGACCGAGCCAGCGTTTGAAAGCAGTGTCGCAACGCACGAGCAACGGGGGATGATGAGCAGATGAAGATGGCGGTGGTATGGGGATGCGTGCCCCTATCTGAGATCAGACAGACGTAGTATATCAAGTGGCCATTTCTCCTCCTGCCCAACCGTCTCCAGGTAACTCTAGAGCCAGTCAACACTCCGTGCACATCATCATCTTTCCACCTGTACCACTGCGTGCGGCCTATATCTCCCCTATACTCACCTTGTCCTCCTGCAGAGTTTCCGGCCGCCTTGTCCACCATGTACTACCCTACTTTCGTCTCGGCTGCGCTGGTCGCTTTCCTCGCCACGGCCAGTGCTGCGCCGGCCAACAAGTTCAACACGCGCGTGGGGACCGTCGCCACGAAGACATCCGGTGAGAAGCTCGTCCAGCGCGCAGCTACCGATGCCCAGGCCACAGGCGGAGCCAGGTGAGTGCCATCGCCGTTGGAAGACTTGGGCTGTTTGTAGTAGCTTACTTGGAACCCAAGCAGCTCCAACCCCCTTGATGCATTGCTAGGGGGAGCAGGCGGTGCCGGAGGAGCGTGAGTCTCAAGATGGATACGGTGATAGTCTCATCGAAACGCTGATGAAGCAACAGCACTGGTGGACTCGACCAGCTTCTGGGGGGCCTAACAGGGGGAGCTACCGGTGGCGGCAATGCAGCGTAAGTGTCGTCCGACTATTTCAACATGTTGCGGAGGTATGGACACCTTGCTGAACAATAGACCAATATGCAGGGGCGGCGCAACAGGAGGGCTCGATCAGCTACTCGGTGGCTTGACAGGCGGTGCGACCGGAGGCAACGCCGGTGGTGCTACTGGCGGTCTGAGTCAGCTATTGGGCGGGCTCGCGAAGAAGCAGGCCGAGAAGGCCGAATAAACCGCATCAGGAGGAGGAGACGAGACAATGGTTAGGCACTTACATGAACACGACGAGGGTCATGACAAGCGCCCCTGTGGGGCAGAATACGCTTCGGCCCATGACCAGCTGCAAAGTGAGACCGAGGAGCTGCAGAAGACGTTTGGTCTTACCTTGGTCTTACATGTCTACTCGCGGGTTCTTCAAGACTATGCAGAGCCGGTCCTGTCTCGCAAACACGATATTTTGACGCGAGTGCCCTAGTGTTAGGCAACGTGCGAAACGAGCGCCTCTTGGAGCTCGAATATCCCTATAAAACATTTCCTGAGCTCCAAGTTGGCAATACAGAACGGGTAACTCTACAGAACAACCTCACGGAACACGTCGCTTTGTTTCTGATCTAATATTAAGTCCGATCTCGTTTGGCTATCATGTCAGTCCAAACTATGCCCCTCGCCTGGAAGATGTCTAGTGCTCTTGCAAAGAAATTGAACCTCTGAAAGCATTTATCCAGACATCAACATCGCCAACCTCGGCGTTGAAAAATGTATCAAATCGAACCACACTTTATATCACGGGGGGAGGCTGATCTCCTTCCTCTCCGTCCAGGATGGTTCCCCTACGAGGCCGAGTCGTGATTTCAGATTTGACGTGTATGGAAGTCGTCGTCGCGGCTCCGTCCTGGATCGTCTTCTCTTCCGCTTCCCCCTTCTTGGACGGATCAAACCTCTTCTGGACAGCCTGGATCATCTTGACGAACCAGTAGAAATTGAGGGAGTTGAGAGTCAGGTTGGCCCCCAAATAGATGGCACCCAGCCATAGGGGGATCACGGTTGAGTCATCCACGAATCGCATCGTCGACCCGTACCGTTCGGGGACGCCCACGCCCAGGTTCTGGGCAGCCTCTGGGGTCGAGGGAATGTAGAGTGGCTTAGTCCCAAGAACGGGCCACACGTCGTTGTAGACCTTGTAGGAGTTGTAGGTACCCCAAACCAGGCGGCATGAGAAAAAGGTAAAGATCAAGGCGATGCCGTTGTAGAGCTGGATCCTGGAGCCCGTCAGGCCCAACTTGTCGCAGAACCAATGGACGTTCAGGAAGGGGGAGGAAAGCTCCCAGAGAATGAAGGTGGTGCTGTAGAAGTTCACAAATGGCCGCTACAGCGAGGTCAGTACAAGCCCGGTCCAGCCGTGCGCAGCGGCAGGGGTGGTGTGGAGAGGGACTTACGAAGCCGAACGAGTATACCAGCAGGGCGCTGATGGCATGGGCAAGCATGCCGAGCCCGAAGATGTTGACGTTGGCGGCAGTGATGAGCAGGTCCCACAGGAAATAGCCGGCGGCCAGGGCCTGGATCAGGGCGGCGCCGCCGGTATAACCATAAACACGCTCCTGAGCATCCATGTCCCAGCGTTCGTCGTCGGTGAAGATGACCCAGAGGGCCAACGCGTTGATCTGGGTGCTCTGGACAAGGGAGACGACGTGGACATCCCAATTCAGCTTCTTGCTCTTCGACAGGCTCTTGTACTGTGCCGGGAACAGGCGGCTCGACACGACCGGAGAGACAACCACCAGGATGAAGTGGTAAAAGGCGGCAATGATGAGGACCTCGTGGATGTGCAGAGGCAGCGTGGGGAGCGACAGATAATCAGCCAAGGGCTGAACGGCCTTGGAGAGCGCCGGGATGGGCGCGATGGGAAACGGATCTTTCATCCTGGCCGCTGGGAGACCCGTCGTCGTCGTCGTCGTTGGAGGAGGAGGGGCGGAGGCAGCAACACGCTGCAGCAAAGGCCCGATCGAGGGAGCACGGAGGGGTTGGTGAGTGCTCAATTTATATATCCACGATAGCCGGGGCAGCGCGGGATCAGCTGCCAGTCGCTGGAGGGGGGGAGAGTAGAATGTCTCTGCCTCTGACTCTCGACGGCGCGGAGCACAGGGGTCACGCAGGCCGGGTTGAATCCTGGCGGGCGGGAGCTGTCACGCACGCTTCTTGTCTTGTCTGTCAGTCGGATGAAGACTAGTATCGGCAGAGAGCGCGGCCAGACCGTGATGGGGTGATGTGTGATGTGTGATGTGAAGGTATGTAAGAGTAGAGGTGAGACCGTGAGCAGGGATGGAAGCTTTTGCCGGCACCGAGCACCACAGTACCGTAATCAGGGTCCAGCACCCCCCAACGGTGGATATGCGGCAGGGAACTTGCAGCACCTACAGCAGCCTCCAGGTCGATGATGTACGCTGTGGTACAAGTTACTGGTGGATGGTCTCAGCCTTGTTTCTGCAGGACGGGCAGACCAAGACCATATACACACACATACACCATTCCCCCCCCCCCCCCCCCCTCGCTCTCCTGTGCGACGATATATATAGTTATACCTAGGTGCGTTGCAGGGACGAACGACCAGGCAGATACTTTAGACTCTGGGCAAAGGCTCGCCCGCTCGCTGTCCCCGCTGCAGAGAGATTTCCCGTTTCTAGGTACAGCTCCGGTTTTGTTGGGACGCTTGTGACGTGACGGCCTGCCCTGCCCACCCTGCCCACCAACGCCGACGTGTATCAGAGGGCACTAAAAGTTAACTACTGTACCTAGGCATGCAGTTACATACTGCACAGTACTACTGCACTGCGGGCGTGCGCCTTCGGCTATCGATAAGGAAATCCAATCGCCTGATGCAACCCACCAGCTGGAAACCTAAGACCAGGGACCTCGGAGTCGGGGACGCCTTTTTCGCCCTTTTTCCAGGGCCTCTCCCCCCCCCCGTTCCCCCGGAGCTAGCAAGGTTCCACCCAGCTTAGGTGGCATCAAGGTGCCGCCGCCCCGCGAGCCTCACGATCACATGTGTCTACAACGTGCTGCCTATTGCCTACGACCAAGCGACTAGGCGACCAGGCGACCAAGCCCCTGCTCACATGACTACTAGACCTGCGAAGAAGGTATAATAGTTTGACCTCTGGGTGCGCCAGCCATAATAGAAGCCCTCGACAGCGGCCCCCTCCTCGTCGAGCTCCTCCTACCCAGCAGTCCAGCCGCCTCCAGGTGCGCGCGCCCGCGCGCCCGCAGCAGTCTCCCAACGGGCCGCGTGAGGATCCGATCCTGGACTGCGCGTGATGGATGGCCGGCGCATGAGCTGATAGATAGTCTCCCTGTCCGCTCGGCACCCGCCCGCTTTGGCTCAGCATGGACGAATTACTCCAGCAGCTCCTCTCCTCACCACCGCCCCCCGGGGCGGACCGTCGCCACGGGAGGCCAGACGCCACGGACCCGGTGGCCCTGGGATACCTCTCCAGCCTGGCCTCCCTGCCCCTCTCTGCCATCGAGTCCTCGGAGCAGCAGTCCCTGGCCCAGTCGTCGCACACGCTTCTTCTCTCCTTGCAGGCCCTCTCGAAGCGCTCGCACAAATCCATCATCGAGTCCGCCTCGCACCATGGGAACCTCAAGACCGCCTTGCCGGCTCTGGCCACTTCGACCGGCGATCTCAAGACGGCAATCCCCAAGCTGGACAGTGAGGCCGTCCACTTCTCCACCACGTACCACAAGTCGGCCGAGAACGAGACCCTGAACACCCGCAAGAAGGCACTGCTCCTGTCCAGGAACGTCGAGCGGCTGGAGGACGTCCTGCACCTGCCCACCCTGCTCACGTCGGCCATCACCTCCGGCTCGACCGCCGCCACAGCCAACTACGCCTCCGCCTTGGACCTGAACGGGCACATTAGACGCCTACACGCCCTATACCCAGAGTCGTGCCTCGTCGGCACCGTCTCTGCGCAGTCTGGCGACGCCATGCGGACCATGGCCATGAACCTGGTATCGAGTCTGCGCACGCCGGGCCTGAAGCTGGCATCCGCCCTGAGGACCATCAGCTGGCTTCGCCGCGTCGTTCCGGACTTGGACCCGGACGGCGTCGCCGGGAACGGCGGCGGTCTCGGCGCCCTGTTCCTCGTCTGCCGCCTGGCCACCCTGATGAACCTGCTGGCCGCCCTCGAACCGCTTCGAGACCTGGCCGACCAAGAGAAGGCGCGGCAACAGCAAAGCGCAGGCGCAGGCGCAGGCTCCTGGTCCGGCGGTCAGCAGACTGAGAGATACCTCAAGAGATACATTGAGATCTTCCGTGAGCAAAGCTTTGCCATCGTCTCCATGTTCAAGAGTATATTTCCCTCGCCGACCGGCCAGACGAAAACCCAGGACGGCACGGACGCAGACCCCCTCCAGCCCGTGCCGTCGGCTCTCTCGACCTTCCCACTCCACCTCGTGGAGATGCTGATGGAGACATTGAGGATATATCTGCCGTGCGTTCAAGACCAAGCGTCGAGAGAAAGTCTACTGACCCAGGTGCTATATTGTGCCGGTAGCCTGGGCCGGCTGGGTGGGGATTTTGGTGTCCTCCTTGCAAGCCTGGATATTGGCGAGGACGCAGAGGCTGAATGGGTTGAAGTGGTCAAGCGCCACCGGGTCATGGCTGGTCGCCTGGAGTCAATAGTAGGGCAGAAAGATCGAAGGAGCTCCGAGGTGTCGGTGAAAGCATAGCATTTTTATCCTCCTTTTCGAGACGCTCTGGTACCAGGAGAGCCCGGGAGCCATAATGATTTTATGACATTTTACACTTCCAAGTGGTCTAAGCCCGCTGGCCATGGATGCAATGATCTTGGTTCTTTACCGCAGGCATGAACGAGGATGACAGGGGATAGGAGCTGTGGAGTTTTTTTCTTTTGCTAAATCTCCCATGGCCTTTCCCATGAAAGAGAGGCGCCCCCAGATGAATAGTTTCGTTTCGTGCTGGGTGGGATCGCTCGTGTGAATACTGCAGGTAGCTGTAGATCGGAATAGTTGGAGCACAGTGCTGAAAGTGTTTTTTTGCCAGCACCAAACACTGTACGCACGCCACTAAGATTGCATGCCTCATTCATATCCGATCCGAGTTGCCTACACAGTACATCCTCCTCGCTACATCTAAGGGGATCACGAAAAGCGCCAAAACGGCTGGTCACCGCAATGTCCATCTCAAATGAAGCCTTGCAGAAGGTAAGTCGACCTCATGAGGCCCCCGGCACAGGCCCCAAAAGGATCACGCTGCTGACACTGCGAACCCGGGCAGCTCGTCCGAGAGATCGAGACACAGGCCCTAGTGGCCCAGCAGCAGATCTCCCTTGTTCGGACGCAACAGGCGTCCAAGCAGAGAGAGATGCGCATGGCGCAATTGACGCGCACCGAGATCTCTTCCCTGCCGCCGGACACGGGTATCTACGAAGGTGTTGGGAAAATGTCGGTCCCCCTCGTCCCCCCTCCAGCTCTGCTCCCCGTCCCCCTTGGCCACTCTCGTGCTTACTAACACGTGCGCACAAGGTTCGTGTCTTTGCCCATGTCAGCCCTTGGGGAGAAACTTGAAACGCAGATCAAGGAGACACAGAAGGAAGTCGAGGGACTTGGCAAGAAGCTCCAATCCCTGGAGCTCACACAGAAGAACAGCAAGGAGCATATCGATCGCATGTTGAGGGGAGGAGCGGGCGCCTCGTGAAACGGACCAGGAGATTCCAATCTGACTGGCCCACCGGCCTCTGGAGGGACTCTCAAGGCCCAACGTCGAGCACCAGAGGATGGCGCCTTATTGCTACAGCGCATCGTAGGAGGCCCTCACGGAGGGATTCGGACTGGATGGTTGTGACATCACCTTGCAAGACACCTCGTTGCGGCTGTGTCGCCTGTGGCAGGGGAACTCTTGGGAGGCGCAGGCATTTTTGGCGGCTCCGCGGCAATGCACGACACCCGCAAATCTAGAATGTCCTCCCGGTGCGCCAAAATGTGGGAGGACTACTCTCATCCCATTGGGTCCTATAGACGAGATGACCTGGAACAAAGGAAAGAAAGAAAGGGGGGGAAATCAAAGTCCGTTTTGGTGCCCAACAACCTGCTGTGCACCACGATTGATTGCCTACCGCCGCCCCAGATGTTTTCATGATGTGTCAAGAGTTGTTGGAGATTGTACATCCATACCTAGGCATCATGTCATGTGCTTTTCTCGGCGCTCATCTAGAGGGCCAGGATCTAATGCCGATGCACCAGCGACAATCCCGGCCAAAACGAAACAGAAACTTACACAGCACAAATGTACTATGTAGAGTAGACAAGTGACTGGGGCAAGCTGCGGCTGGCTGGGCCCAGATGACACTTTGGGTTGGGGGGAGAGGAATATGTGGCCCCTGCTGACCGCCAACCACGGACGGGTACTCATTCACTCACTCACACCACACACTACAGCACTACACCAGAACATACAGTAGTACTATGTATGGTAGACATGAAGATTTGGGCATGGCCGTTTGGGACCGTTCCTCAGCCCCTCCCCGACCCGCCAGACCGACTGACTGACTGACTGGCTGACTGACTGACGGGGGGTTGGAGGGAGCCGGACCAGAGCCAGCCACAGAGAGAGGCAGAAAGGGAGAGCCCCGTCACCCCTCTTCCTCCCACTGGCTCCCAGGCCACCGGCGTCGTGCCCCTCCATCCATGCACCTCACTACCCGACGACTCCACTCTCAGCCTTTCCATTCTCTGGGCATCCGTCTTGCTCTTTGTTAAGTTACCTGCCAATGGTAAGTTATGCATGCATGTACCACACCTTGCTGGCGGGAGAATCAATGTGAAATTTGGCCCCCACAAGCTGTCCACACTCCTACGTGTGTTGCAGTGTACAGTCGTTCTTCGCCGTCCGTCGCCAGCACGGTACTTCGCTCCCCATTGGGACAAGAAAGCTGTACAGTAGTAGCACGGCGCTCGTTGCTGACTCCCATTCGTGGTGGGTACGCGACGCCCAATGGTGGATGGCTTAGCACGGGCAGATAGCGGTCGACGAGCGACAATCTCTTGCTTTCTTTGACACTGTCGCTGTGCTAAATATACCACAACGGGACTGAGGACTGCATATGAGTGGGTGGCGCAGGACAATGCGCATCTTCCCCCCTCCTCCCACCGCAGCACAGCTCTCGCATGCCGTCCCAGTGTGTGTGTGTGTGTCTCTCTCTCTCTCATTACCTACACTACTACTGTCAGCCAGCCAGCCTGGTCCCCGTCCCCGTCCCCGTCCCCCATTCCCAGTTCAGTCTACGGCCATCCATGGGAAAGGATGCATGACCCAGCCGGCCAGCCAGCCGGAGGAGGAGCTGATAAAATGGCTGGTTACCGCCCCCCCCCCCACCCGCTTACTGCTGACCTGACTTCTTTTTCGATCCTTCGCCCACCTGGCGCATTCTGATCCTACACTTGGCTTTGTCTGTTTCGCAAATCTTATCATCAAACCTGTTCCTGAATAACCTGGCAGCCCGAGCGAAGTCCTCCTCGGCTGTGGTGCAAATCTTGGTGACTATACCATATCACAGCGACCACTATTATCGCGCTGTAGTATAGACTCAAGCTCAAGCTTTATCTATTTTTGGTGGCCCGCCCCGACCCCTCTCGTGCCTCCGCCGCCGACCATGAGCCGTTACGGCGGTTCGCGATACTCCGACTCGGAGTCGGACCTGGATATTCGTGTCAGCCATCGCCACGAACGCTCGCCAGCACGCCCGGCCCGCGCCCCGGTCCAGTATGTCGAGCCGCGCCGCCGCCCCTTCTACGAGGAGGACCGCTTCCTGAACCCCACCCATGAGCGCACCGTGGTGACGACCCGATCTCGCTCCAGAGATCGCCGCCGCGACAGCTCCCCCAGGTCGCCCCCGGCCCCGGCCCCCGTCATTATCAACAATCACATCATCAACCATTCGGACTCGGACTCGGACTCGAGCGAGGACCACCACCACATGCAGATTGCCCATCGCCACCGCTCCCACTCGCGCGCTGACTCGTCCACCTCCTCCTACTACCGCGACAAGTACTATGACCGCCAGCGCGAGGAGGCCCGGCGCGCCGAGGTCGACCGCGAGGTCCAGCGCAGTCGCAAGGACTACGAGCTCGAGAGGGCCCGCAAGGAGCTCGAGGAGATGAAGCTCGTCGCGCAGATCGAGAAGGACGAGAAGCGCCGTAACAAGTCCTACGAGGAGGAGCGCGAGCTGCGCCAGGCCAAGAAGGAGCTCGAGGAGATCCGCCGCCTCCGGGACAACGAGGAGAAGGAGCGACGCATCAAGCAGAAGCTGGAGCTCGAGCGCCTCAAGAAGGAGGAGGAGGAGCTCGCAGAGAAGAAGCGCCGCGAAAAGGAGGCCAAGGAGGCCGTCGAGAGGTACAAGAAGGCCGAGGCCGAGCGCCTGTTGAAGGAGAAGGAGGAGGAGGAGGAGCGCGAGCGCGAGTACAAGCACCGGCTGCAGGAGCAGCTGCTCAAGTCGGGCCTGGGCGAAAAGGAGATCAACAACATCTTGGCAGGCAAGAAGATCGAGAAGGAAAAGAAGGAAAAGGAGAAGAGGGAGGACGACGCCCGCCCGACCTACACCCGCATGGCCAGGAGGCACCTCTCCCTCGAGACTCTCAGGGTGTACAATATTGATTATCAGCTCGACGCGGTATGTGTTTCACCCCGCGCCCTCCTGCTGGATATGTGCTGACCAAACTACGCCCGACAGGACCCCGAGTATGTGCTGATCAAGAGATGGGTGGCCGAGACGGAACAGGACATGCTCTGGCGGCACACTCGGATCGTCAGGGAGCAGCGGTCAGGAAAGCTCGTCATGACGATCGAGGACAAGCCGAAGAAGCACAAGCACCATCACGGCGCAACTCTCGAGCCCGAGTTCGAATGGGTGCGCAAGAAGGAGCGCAGAAGGAGCCGATCCCCTTCGCTGCTGATGTACTTGGCAGGGGCAAAACCCGCGTAGTGGACACCCGCCTTGGCGGTGGGAAGCAGCATTATGATGACGACGCCGAAGAAAACACGGCTTTTTGCTTACGATTGGGTTTTTATGAGTTGAGAATTTGCTTCAGCTAGCTAGCTTTTTCTGGGACAGGGAAGGGGGTGGTGGCTCGGTAGAAGTGCGTTTCGCTATACCTGTCCGCTCACGGTGCGGCCCCATGTAGTCTCTGCTCTTCGAACCAATTCTTCGTACACCATCCAAGCCAATGCCGAACTGATGGCCTTCCGTGTCAAGCGCAGTGACAGCCCGTCGTATAGGGACCGCGCGCCTTCCTCGGCGACAATCCGCCGCATGGCTTGCAGGGTATTCTTGTATTCCTGCGGCTGCAGCTGGATGCGCGTCTTGACGGCGTCGAAGGGGTTGGTGATGAAGGAGCACGCAGCGCTCGCCAGGGCCCCCGAGCTGAAGTTGATCGAGGCTGCCAGCGACGAGCCCATGGTCGAGGTGTGGGTTGCACCTACCGTGCTCTCGGCCTTGCCGTACAACGTGCTGAGACGTTTCTTGAACTGCTCGTAGAACAGAACGTAGAGCCCCGCGTAGGGGGCGTCCCGGACGGCCGTGGCGCCATAGCCTGCGAAGAAGCCCCGTATCCTCTCCTTCCGGTATATGTCCGTGGCGGCGCCGGCCAGTGAATGATAGGCATAGAGGTTCGACTCGTAGCGGACCTTGAGGACCGTCAGGGGCATGAGGAGAAAGCCGGCGAAGGCGCGGGCGAAGGCGCCGGAAAGGAGGTTGGCTGTGTTGGAGAGCTTGGGGAGCGAGGACGAGTGCCGGCCATGCTCGCCGGGCGAGGCGGCCGCGACCACGGCGAGCGGCGTCGCATGCTGGCGGATCGTGTTCAGGGTGGTAAAGTAGACGGCCGACCCGAAGCCCGTCCGAAGGGTAGACGGGACGGTGCCCCTCCAGAAGGCAGCTATGGCATTAGGCGACTGGGCGATCTCGCGGATCGTGGCGCGTATCGACTGCGAACCCGACTGCTGGACGCGCGTCTTGAGGAGGTCGATGGGCTGGAGGAGAATGGCACCCGAGGTGCCGGAGCACAGACCGGCTACGAAGTGGAAAGACTCTTTGACGGCAGTTAGCTCACAGTGGACGATGTCGCTCGCAACAGGGCTCGCGAGCTGGGCCTGGGGGAAGGGGGGCAGACTGACTTGATGATGACGCATTGGAACGAGAAGAGCTATGCGACATCTCGATGTTGGATAAGAAAGCCTGCCGAAGCAGAAGCACGTCTTACAGGCCCATGTGGATTCGGGAGGAAATTCACATGGAACAGACCGCGACCGAGATCCAGAGAGCAGCTGGCGACGGGGTTCGTGCCATCGGGTGGGTGACAGGGTCGAAGCACAGTAGCGACCGGGACCGGCGGGCGTTGCGCCTTGCTATTTTTCTTCCGGGGAAAAGTGGGTTTTGGAGCTCGGGGGCTCCGGGCCGTTCATGATGTCACGGAAGGAAATTGGGTTGCCCAGGCACATGGGCATAGACCAAGGTCACGGCTGCAGAACCAAAGTGTACAGTCCCGACAATTTGCTTCTCAGCGCCAGCGATCTTGCGCGTCGAGCGTCTGGGATATCAAGTGCATGGTTATCGCGATGCTACAGCACATTGTGTGGGCTTTGCTGGGTTACCTGCCATTGCCTATAGCTTGAGTGGGTAACTGGCCCGGGACTGTTCCCCACGGGCATACTCGTACATAGTAGATATAGCCAGCCCCACCTGACTGCGGAGCACTGGATGCCCGCCCACGCGCAGCGATCCAACTATACCAGCTCACCAATATGCCAAGTCTATAGTCAACAACGAGACAAGAGCGGCGCTCTGTTCCTGGCTCTCAACTTTCTCTCTCCATGGACATTGCCTGCTACGTTGGCTTTTTCTCTTGCACAAATGTGACGTGACGAGCGCGTCCTGCATGCAGCCCACCGTGGGGGGAAGCTTACGACAAGGTTTCCTGCCCATGTCGGCAGAACTGACTTGCTCGATATACTGCAGAGCGGGATTACGAGCTTCGTATCCACAAGCGGGCGTGTAGGTTGAGCTCCCCAGTCGGAACACATGCTTGACCCAGGTCCGATGCCGATTTGGCTCTGCTTCGGCACTGTCATGCCTCGCCTGGACATGGTCTAGATATGCTTTTTGCCGTTCGCAACGACGGGTGCGTCTTCGACAGCAACGATATCCGGCAGCCTCAAGATGGAAGACCAGTCGATTCTAAACTTGTCCTCGTCGCCGTCCAAGCAACGATGTATCCAGATACGCCACGTGATATAATAATACGCTAGGGTTATGCGGTCAGGATCTGGAGCCGCTGCACCGAGGGGAAACAAGCTCGACTCACCACCTATACCGGTCATCAGATGCCACCAGGCGTGTCCCTCCAGGACTACAGCCCACGGCAGTCCCATCTGATGTCTCCATCGGCGGATGGTACTGCAGTAGATGTTATCCAAGTTCCAAATGAAATATCCACCCAGGAAAACGGTCAAGCCTGGCATGGCATCAGAGGAATTAGCGCCGATTCATAGCCATAGCACAGGAGCGTAAACGACGCGCAACACACCTGTCGCAACCATAAGCCACATCTGCTTCACGATCGAGTTCGCGGGGGGCACCGGGGACCCCGGGGCGCGCTTCGCCTGGCGCTGCTTCAAGGCAGGCTTGACGGAATTCTCCATGATCCACATGTTGGAGAAGACGACGATAGCTGTCAGTATCGCGTATGCATCCTGGTGAAACTGGGGGTCTTTTGTCTGGTAGTATCTGGCCTGCGCAACATGTAAGCCTCGCACTATCCTAACCGGGAGGCTGGGATATTGGGGATACAAACGGTGATGAACCAGGCGAGGCCCGAGAGGCCAACACCGAGGGCTGCCGAGAAGGGCGTGGACCTGCCGTAGGAAAACGTGGCATAGCACATGAGACAGGTCGTGTATATCATAGAGAGCTCGTCGACAAGCTGCATTGGATCTGGCCAGATTTCAGTCCAGTACCTGCCTCTCTTTCCTCATGATCATACTCACACTTGAGCGTGGCGTGGAAAAACGTGGAGCCAACCCCGACCACCATGTAGCCGATGAAAGCAATGGTGAAGATGGTCGGATGGGAGTACTTTAGGCAGTCCCGGATCCCTTTGAGGCCTAGCCAGATGAACAGGAGGTTTGTGACGGTCTAGGACCACACCGGTCAGCCGGCACACCACAACGAGGAACGGCATTGGTCTCATCTTACATTGCAGACCTCGGCACAGTAGTAGCTCATGACATAATCCTGATACAACGGGTCAGCACAACCGGATCCCACACGGGGTTTGGAAATTTCCATTTCTCGTGGCGGAATGTGTTTGTACCTCCTCACAGAAGTTCAGTGTCACGGTCTTCTCGCCCCAGAAGCCATCACGGGGCTCGTGGTACGGGAAGGCCAGGGCGCCGAAGACAGACTCGGACATGATCTTGGCCCGGTTGGACGTTGAACGCTGCGCGAGATGGCCAAGTTAGGAGTCGGGTGAGAGATAGGACTCTGACGATGGATGCAGTGCGGTGGGCTTTGGCCAGGACGTGACTTGAGCATATAAATGTATGTTGCTCGCTACTTATTGGCAGCTTACACGCAGAGGGCCAATGAAAGCGTGGGTTGAATAATCCTGGGAAAGGGATGTCGGGATGCGCGGACCCGGGGGGATTTTGTGGTAGCTATGTCGAGAAGTGCAGCTTGGCCGGAGCAGCTTTTTTAGGAACGTTATAAAGTCGCCCAGGAAAAAACTTGGCACGGCGGTCGAGATAAGCCTGGGAACAAAGTAAAACGGACCACGAGCGGGTTTATTAATCCAGATCTGGGACCAGTACCAGTACCAAGACCAATACCTGCTTGCCTGTGTATGTACGCGGCGTGCGGGTTACTGCTCGACCAGAGGGCGCAATAAACTAACTACCCTTACCTCAAGGTCCACGGAGCTACCTACGGCTAGACTACCTAGGTACTACGTCAGAGCCCCCCCGGAAACGAGCGCACTTGGGCTTTTGCTGGAGCATGGACTCTTGTCCTCCATTGGCACCGCACATGTTGACCCTCTGCCCCCCAGGTATCTTATGTTCGGGGTCAGCGATGGGTACCTCCGTGTGTCATTGCCTGCCAGCAGACCCGTTTCGAGGCCGAAGCTTCCGATCGGTTACGACGAGCCCGCATTGGGAAGAAAGAGGGGGGAGGAAAAAAAAAAGAAGAAAGAAAAAAAAAGGGAAAAGTCGACCACCATTCGCACCCCACGAGCCTGACAATACGTAGTACGATGGGAGGACAGGTGGTTGAACTCGTGCGAGCGCCGAGAACAAGCTGCTTCTCTCCATCCTTTCTTTCTCTCTCTACCCCTACTAACGGACGGGCAAGGCGCGGCACAAGTCAAATACAAGGGGGTACCTAGGTAGGTGAGTTACATGGCTGGCAACCTAGGTACGTAAGTAAGTAGGTGGTATTGAGCGGCTGAACATCCATGGATATGAAGCAACGCTCGACCCAGCCGTGGGGTCTGTCTGGCGGACGACACTGGCTGGGGCCTGGGCGCGAGCGAGGTCAGAGCCTTCAGAAGAGCAGGACCCAACCCTAAGCAAGGCAAGCAACCCACTGGACGCAGGCCGAGCGCTCCTGGAGAAGAAGCACCCAGGGACGGCCTGCGCCACAGCGCCCAGGATCCCACCAAACACGCACGATGCCAAGGTAGCGCGAGCAAAGTACCCGGCTACTGTGAGGCCAAGGTAGGTACATGCAATGAATGTGTTTTCCCTCCGTGCCATGGATCCCGCTCAACAGTGGCACTGCTGCTGGCAGAGCACCGACCTCCCGCCGCGCTGGGAGCTACACAGCAAAGCCGGTGCCTGGGAAGCTTGGCGCGCTTCTGATGGATCGATCCCCGTCCCACCGGGTGCGAGTCGCAGTCGTAAACTATAGCCCGACCCGGGGAATGGACAGCTTACACTTCCGTCTCGACTTCACATGGCCAACGCTGGCGCCCTTTGCGACACTGCTGCCAGCTGGACACACTTACACCCACCGCGCTGGGCTTCCATTGGGGGTGCGAGCTGTTGATGCTCCCGAAAAGCGAAGAGCACGCAACGTGCTGCGCGAACGACACACGACACACAGCTGTCTTACCTCCAGTCATTAGGTAGCCACTGACGCCGTCGGCCGGTGGTGCCACAGACACAGTCAAATCAAACCCGACACATACACTCTCACTCACGCAACCACTCCCACTCACTCACCCTCTCTCTCTCTCTCTCCCCCTCTCCCTCTCCCTCTCCCTCTCGCCTTCTCTCCCGTTTCGGGGGACCGCGGCTGTCTGTTGGTCTCGATACACCGCCCAACGTCGCCCCGGCCATTCCATTGCACCATACTCCGACTGTCGCATCCCACACCACCCCCCCGTTCAACAATGCACTGCGCCGACCCTACCGCCGAGCCTGCCATCAACTCATGATAGTATACACCCGCCATGTCGGCCCCCTCGAAGCCTTCCTCGAGATGGGGCTCCTTCCTGTCCCAGGCCGTCGCCGGCGTCGAGGCTCGACTCGACACAATCCTCGCCGAGGAGGACCAGCAGGACGGCGCAGCGCCTGTCGCCAAGCAACCGCCCTCGAGGCCCTCGTCGGCCGCCTCCACCGCGAATAAGCCTGCCTCCGCCTCCGCCTCCGCCTCCGCAAGGTCGGCCAACGACAGGCTGCAAGAGCGCCTGGCCCGCGCCGTTGCCGCAAAGAATGCAGGTGCCGCGAGCCCCAGAACCGACGCGTCCCCGGCCCGCAGATCAGCTGAGCTGTCGTCGGCGAACCGCAGCCCCCGTCCCAGTGCCGACCTCGCCAGGGCCGACTCTCCCGCGCCCGGTGCCGTCCCGTCGCCACGGACAAGCTTATCCAAGGACGAAGCCCCAAATGTCACAAATCGCCAGCCCGAGGGCGCCACGCCGAAAGTGAACGGGGAGCGAGCATCGGTAGATTCGCCCCGCCCCTCCACGCAAGAGGAGCGCCCATACGTCTCGGAGCCCGCCCCCATGCTTGTGCCTGCTGCCAACACCGAAGGCAAGGAGGAGACGGTCCCTGTTTCACTGTCCGTGAGCGAGAAGATTGTGACATCGTTGGACCTGTACGAAAAGCGTATAGCCGAACTGGACAAGTCGTTGGAGGACGCCCAACTTCAGCACCAAGAGGAGCTTCACGGCTATGTAGAACAAGTCGACGCCCTGCAGGCCAAGCTGCAGTACCTGGCGCGTGAGGGCGCCGAGGCTGCCAAGAAGGAAGCTGCCGCGGCGCCCGCTGGCAGTCTGGAGAAGAAGCTCGCCGAAAAGGACCAGCAGGTCGCCCAGCTGATGGAGGAAGGGAACAAGCTGTCCGGCAATGAGCAGAAGCTGCGTGCCGTCATAAAGAAGCTGCGCTCTCAGATTTCTGGTGACGAGAAGGAGCTGAACGAGCAAAAGATATGGCGACAAAAGGCCGAGGCCGAACTGACAAACCTCCGTGGCACAGCGCGCAGTGTTGACGACCTGAAGCGGGAGAAGGATGAGGCGCAAAGGACTGCAGGTCAGCTAAGGAGGGATCTCGACAAGTCCAAGACCGCAGCAGCATCCAAGGACACCACGATAGCAGACCTGAGGGCGCAGCTCCAGGAGGAAACCGCACGCGCCAAAGTCATGACAAGCAAACTCAACGATCAGATCAGAGAGGCCGGGCAGCAGAAGGTCAAGGATCTGGAAGATACCGTGGCCGCCATGGAGGTGGAGAAGAGCCTGGCAGTGGACAAGGCCAAGGCGCAAACAAATGAGCTGCGGGACAAGCTGGAAAGAGCGGCGGAACGCGCCCGGGCGGTTGAGTTGGAACTGAAGGGCGAAGTACAGATCCTTGAGAGTAAGCTCGAATCGTTGCGAGCCACAGCCGAAGAAGCTTCCTCGGGAGCCGTTGGCGATGCTCAGGCCAAACTACTGCGGCAAATCGAGACCTTGCAGACGCAGTACTCGATAGCGAGCGAGAATTGGCAGGGTATGGAGGCCTCTCTTCTCTCCCGGGCTGCCAACCTGGAGAAAGAGAGAGATGAGGCGCTACGGAGAGAATCTGAAATGCGGAGGAAGGCCCGAGAGTCTGTAAGTACCCGTCAACAGCCAAACCGGACTTGTCCATGTATTACAGCGTGGTCAACTAACATCTCTCAAGGCTTCCCGTGCCAAGCGACAGGAGGAGGAGCTGGAAGAAGCAAAGACAAAGCTCCCCAGTGTTGAGCGAGACCTATCAAATCATCAGACTCAGATCGAAGCTCTCCGTAAGCGGGCCGATGAGGCCGAGACGGCGCTGGCTGAGGCCCGGGCCGACTTTGAGAAGCAGCGGCTTGCGTGGAAGGAGGAGACGGCAGACAAACCGGGGAACGAGCGCCGGCCGTGGTTAGATGAGGTCGCCCTACGAAATCATAGCCGACCAGCGTCACCAGCCCTGAACCCGCCGCAGCGCACCTATAGCAGTGACTTCCTCGGGCTACAGAACTTCCCAACCAAGCTTCGCAAGACGTCGGCTCCCTCGAGCAATGGTGATCACAGCCCCAGCGAGAGGCCCTCGTCCGCCCGCAGGCCTTCACAGCAGCCGCGCCCCTCCATCTTCTCCGTGCCCTCTGCGCAGTCGGGGGGGACACCACCATCGATCCTCGGCGGTGGAGAGCTGGGAAGTATCGCATCGCCGACGCACCCCCTCGACCGGGAAGACACGTTCGACGGCATGGAGACCCCGGCCTCTCCGCAGCATGTCCTGCAGGACATGGTCTCCGTCTCGACAATCGCCGCTGGCCCGTCCGTGCAGCTCGTGGAGAGGATGAGTGCCGCCATTCGGCGGCTGGAGAGCGAGAAGGTCGCTGCCAAGGAGGAGCTGTCGAGGATATCGGGACAGAGGGACGAGGCGCGGGCCGAGATCGTCGCGCTGATGAAGGAAGTAGAATCAAGCAAGTCGGCGGCCAAGAAGGTTGAGGACCTCGAGAAGGAGGTCGTGGAGATCAATGAGAGATATCAGACGACACTGGAGATGCTGGGAGAGAAGAGCGAGCTGGTGGACGAACTCCGTGCCGACGTGGAAGACGTCAAGGCAATGTACAGAGATCTGGTCGAGCGCACCCACAAGTGAGCACCAGGCCCTGCTCTCGGCACTGCGAGCGATAGCTTGTATATTTTGTACTATTTGAAGGGGGCTAGTTAGGTCCATCCATCTAGGTAGATCGGAGTCCTCCCCAGGTCGGCCGCCCACGAGAGGGAAGAAGTGGGGGGCGGTGGCTTAGAAATCTGGTGAAACCCATGAATATTATACCACCCCTTTCCGACTCTACAAGTCGATGCCCTCATTCTCGGCCTCCCGCGCAACGTATTTTTTGACCTGCAGCGGGGAGATCGTTGTGGTTAGAGGGAATACTGCGTGGCAGAGTGCTGGGCCCGGCAAGACTCACCTCCTTGTCCGGGGCTAGATCGAGGGCCGTATAGCCGTCCGAGTCCTTCTTGCCCGTCTCGGCGCCAGCCTTCAACAGGGCGACAGCAGTATCACCTGGGTGCGGCGGCATCAGTACGGGGGGCTCTAGACTCGCCAGGGGTCAATTCATACCGTGTCCCTCTGCCATGGCGTGGTGCAGAGCCGTGTAGCCGGCAGTATCAGTGGCGTTCAGGGGGCTCTTGTTCTTCAACAGCAGGTTCACCATGGGCACTGAGCCGATGGCGGCGGCACGGTGGAGGGGGTACTGGCCGCGTTTGTCCCTGACTCGAGCCGAGGCCGGGGGCTTGTGGTCGAAAAACATGCGCGCGACCTCCATGTTGTTCTTGGAGGCGACGAAGTGCAGTGCCGTCTAAAGCCGCAGTGAGCCAAGTTCCATTGCACCGCGCTCTAGACTGCGCCATTGCGCTCTTCACCAACCTGTCCGCTGTTATCTGCCTCTCATGTTAGCCACGGGCAGGTACGTTCCATGTGCCGAGTGGTCTCGCCCGGCAGCAACAGTAGCCCCGTCTTACTGGTTTGATTCACATCGGCTCCCCATCCCAGGAGCATGGCGACCAGTTTCTCGCCGTCCTTGACGCTGGCAGCGATCATCAGCGGCGTCCAGCCGCTGGCGTCCTGTCATGGCGCGTTCAGTTCGAGGTGCGTGCAACACACGAGGGGGGAGAGGCCCCTGGCCCCAGATGCCGCGGGGAGAAGCCGACTCACCTCGACGTCCGGGTCAAAGTCCTTCTGCTGTGCCAAGAGCTGGACGATCTCGGGCTGGTTGGAGGACGCAGCCCAATGGATGGGAAGTCGTCCGTCATCATCTTGCCTGCGGGCATTCTTGGGGTCGGCCTTTTGCAATCAGGAATATCATTAACAAAAGACTGCGCCGTGTCGATCCCGGGCTGCATGCGTGCAGAGTGCCCTGTACAGCAGATGGGAACTTACGTTGAGCAGTGACTCAACCGCAGCAACTAGGCCCGACGAAAAGTCAGCGATGGGGTTGGCTCTTCTCGGGGGGGCATGTACACGGCTGGCCTTACGTCTGCCCTCGCGGGCTGCTGCGTGTATTGCAAACTTGGACTGATCCGGGTCCATGGTCGCCGTGTGGGGGTCGAGTTTTCAAGAAGCCGAGTAAGTACTTAACTTGAGTACCCGAGTTAGGGAACTCAGGTGAGATGGAGAATGGGCCGAGGATTCTGGGTTGGTTGGTGTGCGGTGTGCCACAAGGCGTGCTTGCTTGGTTGTCATTTACATGGACATCCAAACAGATCAGAGGTGCTGTAGCCGGCCACTTACAGCAAGACCTTGGCTCAAATACAGGATAACCGTGCTTATAGGTGATGGTTGGATCGCCGATGGGCTCCCGGGGTGGAATGACGAAGCCGGATGAAGCAGTTAATTAGATGAGGTTATACCGCTAGAGGTTGGGAAACTCCTGGGCCAAGAGTGAGATGGGGTGTTTTCCTCTGGTGGTCTGGAAACCTGACTTGTCCCGCAGACAAGGGCTGATTGATCTCATCGTGAATAATCAATCAATCAACCAACCAATCAATCAACCAATCAATCAACCATGCCGCTCCAGGCTGGCCTTCGTCACGCAGACCGGGGGCGGCGGCGGCGGGGCCAGGGCGTTGCGAGAACTTGCGCCTGGGTTTGGGGTTTGGGGTTTGGCGGGTATATGCTTCTACCGGGGTGTTTAGCTGCCACGAGCCTACTGCCTACAGCCTAGGTACCTCGCTAGAGTTTAGGTACTCCAGTGCCTTGGGTAGCCCACCTCAGTGCTGTACTGTGTACTATGTACCCTGTCTGCAACAAAAGTCCGCTAAAACTTCAGCCCCGTCTCTGCGATTTGGCTCAGAACTCCAGAACTCCAGAACTCCAGTAGCGGACGCAGCCTCGTCACCTTGTCACCAGCCCCGGCACCTTCAACGCCTCCTGCTCGCCCGCGACACGATATCCCACTGCTCTCTCTGCATCCGGACCCCCGGAACTGCAGAGGCCTAGCACTTCCGCACCTGTGCGGCACGACACGGCGCTGCACTGCGCTGCACTGCTTTGCGTTGAGAACCCGCCCGCGCCCGTGTCGCGACCACCGCTGGCCAGACAGACAGAGAGAGGAGCGAGCCGCCATGCCCGACCTCGAGTCGTTGGTGCTTACCAACGCTGAAAGGTCCAAGACTCTGTTCGCCCATGTCGAGAATGGCATCGCCAGGAAACGCCAGAGGCTGAGCACCGACGCCGACCTCGAGAAGGCCGCCCTCTCCGTCCGCCTACACGCCGAGTACGCAGACGTCAAGGACCTCCCGCCGGCGTTAGCCCAGAAGCAGGCCGCTGCTGTCGGCGCCCGGAAGAAGAAAGCCAGGCCAGACGGCACCCCGTCCTCGTCCTCGGCCCCGGGGGCACAGGACGACCAGAAGACGCAGAAACTGATCGAGGGCATCGCCGACAGGACGCCCACCTCGCCCCATGTCGCCGCCGGCAGCTCGACCGCCCTCGTCCAGAGGACCAAGACGCCCTTCACCTCCACCAACCGAAACAACAACAGCAGCACCCAGTCCACGCAGCTGAGCGTCGCCCGCGCACAGTCGACGAATCAGGTCAGGCCCGACTGGCACCCGCCCTGGAAGCTCATGAGGGTCATATCCGGCCACCTGGGCTGGGTGCGCGCCCTGGCCGTTGAGCCCGGCAACCAGTGGTTCGCCAGCGGCGCCGGCGACCGAACCATCAAGATCTGGGACCTGGCCACCGGCAACCTGAGGCTGACCCTGACGGGTCACATCTCCACCGTCCGCGGGCTTGCCGTCTCCCCGCGCCACCCCTACCTCTTCTCCTGCGGCGAGGACAAGATGGTCAAGTGCTGGGACCTCGAGACCAACAAGGTCATCCGCCACTACCACGGCCACCTCAGCGGCGTCTACACCCTCGCGCTGCACCCCACCCTGGACGTGCTGGTGACGGGCGGCCGCGACGGCGCCGTCCGGGTTTGGGACATGCGCACCCGGAGCAACATCCACGTCATGTCGGGCCACAAGGGCACCGTCGCGGACGTCAAGTGCCAGGCTGCCGACCCCCAGGTCATCAGCGCTTCTCTCGACTCCACCGTCCGCATGTGGGATCTGGCCGCCGGCAAGACCATGGGCGTCTTGACCCACCACAAGAAGGGCGTCCGCGCCCTCGCCCTGCACCCCAGCGAGTTCACCTTTGCCTCGGCCAGCACGGGCAGCATCAAGCAGTGGAAGTGCCCCGAGGGCGCCTTCATGCAGAACTTTGACGGCCACAACGCCATCATCAACTCGCTTGCCTGCAACGACGAGGTGCTCTTCTCGGGCGGCGACAACGGGTCCATGAGCTTCTGGGACTGGAAGTCGGGTCACCGCTACCAGTCCCTCGACTCCATCGCGCAGCCCGGCTCCCTGGGTGCCGAGGCAGGCATCATGAGCTCGACGTTTGACGCCACGGGGATGCGACTCATCGTCGGTGAAGCCGACAAGACCATCAAGATTTGGAAGCAGGATGAGAAGGCCACCCCCGAAACACACCCGCTTGAGTGGAAGCCTACACTAGGGAGGCAAAAGTTCTAAAAGAGAAGGGGGCGTAGTTGGGGGCAAATCATCTCGCGTCGGGGATAATTTTGGACAGCAAAGGAAGGGAAGCGGATAATGCCACGACGGGGGAAGAACGTTGGATGGACTACGTGGTAGCGGTGTTTGTAGTTCACACACCCAAGGGTAGGATTTGGTATCTATCGGGTATCTATATATCAAATTTCCCCCCCCCCCCCCCTTTTTGGGGGGAGTCGAACCCATGTTGAGCAAGGTCTCTACTTTTGTACACTAGAAAGCTATACCCAAGGCCTTGATCTCGGGGTCGTCACGAAAAGCAAGCTTGACCTCCTCATCACCCACCGCAAGCCTAATCTTGCTGGGCCTCTCTGGCCTCTGACCTTCCAGTATGATGATCCCAGCCCCCGTGAGATCAACCGCAGCGGCGCTTATTCCTGTCGCCCTACTCAACGCCGTGAGGTCCTGCTTGCGCCGGATGCCGTTGCTATCTGCCTCCGGCCCAGCCGTGAGTAGCTTGACCCGCTTGCTGCTGGCGTCCAGGACCAGTGCCCGACGTAGCTCCTCCTGCACATCCCCATACGTGCTGTCTGTAAGCCCGGTTCTCTGGTTCCTGACCAGCAGCGCGGCCAGCACCAGCTTCGAGGCGTACGGGAGAGCGCGTAGGTACTGCTGCAGGGGGCTCGAGGTGGCCTCGTTGATGGCCCGCTTCACCGTCGCGATGGTGACCCGGCCCCGAGAGCCCTTCTTCTTCTCCGAGGCTGTGGCGCTGTCCTTGTTCTTCTTGCTCGGGGTCGAGGGCTCCGACGCGTCGGCCCCCTTGGCTTCGGCCTCGGCCAGCTCCACCGCCCGCCTGCAGATGTCGAGGGCACGCCTGGCGTCTCCGCTGACGGCCGCAACCTTTCGGCTGGCGAACTGCACGGCATCGGGCTCGACGATGTGGCCGGGTACGCCCTCGAGACGAGACTGGATGATCTTCATCAACTGCTCGTGGTTGTAGCCGGGGAAAGTGATACGTGTCAGGCCCAGGCGGCTGCTGATCTTGTTGCTCAGCGTTCTCTCGGGCAGGTCCATGGTGTTGGCCACGGCCAGCACAATAAGCCGGGAGTGGCGCAGCCCGGGCCAGTTGAAAAAGTTGTACATGACGCTCTGGTTCTTGGTGACCAGCTGGTCGAGCTCGTCCATGAGCACCACGCAGGGTACCCGACGGGGGCTCGGGTTGTTGAACTCGCGCTCGAGAAGGTCGAGCGCCTGGCTGGGGCTCACGCGCTGGTCCCGGAGCGCCTCCCAGAGGAGGGAGTAGGATTGGTGGGGGTCCGTGATCTTCATGCCGTTGATCTCGACAAAGATGAAGTCGTCCAGCTCGTCCAATCGCACCGCCTCGTCAAGCCGCGACACCACCTCGCGAACGGTCGCCGTCTTGCCCGTGCCGGGGGTACCGGAGATGTAGATGCACGCGCCAGACCCATCCGTGATGGCGGCCTCGAGGTGCGAATACACCAACGAGAACTCGGATTCTCGGCAGGGGAGACTCGTGGGCACGGATGCGACATGGAGCTGCGCGCGGGCTATCTGGAAGGGCGAGTTCTGGTGGTGGCTAGGGGACAGCGTTCGGGTGGCCAGGGGGGTGAACTCGAGGGCCTTCTTGAGCACGACTTTCCGGTTCGACGGGGTGACAATCTTGGTAGTCCTCTGCTTCTTCCGGGGTGTGGAGGCTGCAGGCCGTCGGGACTGCCGCGCACCATCGTCATCACCGTCGTGGTCCACGTCACCCTCATGGCCTGCGATAAACGCGGCTTCCAGTGCACCGTCGTCGGCCTTGCGTCTTCGCCTGGTGGCCCTAGTCCCCGACTCGACGAGCTCTAGCAGGGGCGCAATGTCTTCCTCGCGGCCCTGGTACACATCCTCCCAGACGAGCTCGTCGGTATATGTTGCCGTCCTGGTGTTGCAACCTCGGCGGCACAGGAAGGTCTTGTTGTAACCCGGCGAGGTGCGGGGAATACGTCCATTCGGATACCTCTCGAAGAACCTGCGGTGTGACAGAACTGTCGCTTTCCCGTTTATGGATGCCAACGGATTGATATCGCTGCTGGGTGTGATGTACAGTTCGCTCTGGAAGTCGGCGTTAGTCTCGACACACACTCTCTCGTACGCGCGGTATGATGGCGTGCGGCAGTACCTGGAGCGCATCTGTCCTCTTCTTGTCCCGGTTTCTGATCTCCTTCTCGCTGGAGAACCAGAGGAAGTTTGCGGCCTTGTCGCCATCCTCGTCACTGTCGAGGAACTCGGTGATGATTCCGACCCAGGCCTCGTGCGAGCCCTCGGCCTTGAGAAGAACGCAGTCGCCCACGTAGCACTCGAAGGAGCCCATGCGGGCGCCGACGATTCTCCCCTGGGGCGCTTCGTCCAGCTCGCGCTTCCTCTTCCGGGTGGCCTCGGGCCTGTCCTGGGACGGGGATGTGGTGCGCGCTGATTGGTGTATCCATTCCCATGGGTGATCTTCGTCACCCAGCTCGTCATCCGAGTCATCCCTGGCGATGCCCGGGGGGAAAGCTGACTCTCTTGGGCGCGGCATGGTGTCGTCGATTGGCGCGTTCGGCGAGGGTGGGCAAGGGCTCTTGCGGAAGCGTCTGGGGCGGGAGAGGGCCGAGTGGCCGGGTGTGGTGCTTCTACTAGTGCTACTTGGCTCTTTGGATCAATGATGTCCTGAGACGAAGCCAATTGGCATGGTTCGGCTCCTGACGCGCGACGCGTTTGGTGGTTTGGTGGTTTGGTGGTTTGGTGGTTTTGGGTTGAGTTGGGGAACAAACGCGCCTCGCGACGTCACGTGACCCCAATCAAAAGTGCCATACCATCTATGTATGTAGTTGAGCCAGTTCCCCCCTTCTGGATTGCGACGCTTCAGTTAGCATTAGGTGGTATTTCCTCGTGTGTGATCTCAGGTTTCATGGCAGATGCTCCTGTCTGTATTACTGTCTTGGGGTGTCATGGTTGTGTGAGATTTCCACTCGGGCGTATGCGTGGGGGTGTGTAAGTGTGTAAGTGTGTAAGTGTATACGGAGTACACGTCCTATACATGTATATACTGCAAGACCTGTAGCCACCAATGCGTCTATCTGAGTCTCTTGTCTCTTATCTCACATATAAGTAGCTTCAATGACTCCCGGGTGGCCAGCCAAACACGCCTCATAAAGTCGCATCAGATCTTCTAACTTAGCCAGTAGCAGTCTTCAGCCCGTACTAGGGTTCCAACACTTCTCCAACCAAGGCATTCGATACGCCAGTCGCGAGCGAACCTAACCCTGAAGAACCCAAATACTGTCCTGACGTCTTGTTCGCCATGTTGATTCCCCGAGGGACTAGATCTTGGGCCAACAATGGGCTGTGCTGCCGCTTTCTCGCTGCGTCCCCATTGTTCTCTTCCTGCGTCGGTGGTGAGTGCGCTGATCTCGCTAGCTACCAGGCCATATTGGCCATCCATGGAACAGTCGGCAGGCGGGCAGTGCGCGCAAACTCGTCTCGGAGCGTGGACGTCTAGGCTGTGCTGGTCACATAGTTGCCCAGCGTTCGCGGGGGTAGTCGCCACGTCGTCACGTTGTTTCGTTCATGTCGTCTCGTCGCCGACTATATGCTCCGCCAAACGAAGGACAGCAACCCACTCGGGTCGAGAGGTAGCTCCGCAGCTCAAATTCACTGGATGCGACATGATTTCCACCTTGGACCTGCCTGCCCGACACCCGTGTTCCTTTTCCTCCCTCTTTTTTTTTCTTCTTTCCCCTTTTCAGTCGACCCAAGGTGCACATCCTTTCACCCATCTCAGCACTCCTTATGTAACCCACCTCTCTGCCAGCCCCTCGTCCTTTACTCTCATAGTCACCCGCTCTCGTCACTCGTTCACCACGTGTCCTGAATCCAGGCACTCGTACGCTCCACACCCAGAGTCTTGTATCGACTGTTTGCAGCCGCTTGGCTCTATGCTACCGCCCCTCGCTATGGCAGATCAGGAGGATGATCTTATCAATTTGTGAGTCGTTCCATCCACAAAAAGTTCCCCTCACTCTCAACTGCCATAGGCTGCAGACAGCTAACAGCCATGTCAGTAGTGAGCGGCCAGTACTCCAAGCCCAGGTTGCTGGTCAGCCGGGTGAGGACAGTCTGACAGACACAGGCTCAGTTCCCGCGGCAGCTGACAATCGCCGCGATCTTGCCGCCCAGACAGTTTCTCAAGACCCCCGTCAGCCGGTCCGCCTACCCATGCAGCAGTTGAGTGACCACTGGGCTGCTCACCGGAAGAGCACTCAGTTGGGCCCAATCCAGCGCCCTGGCTCGGCCGGCCATGCGTATTTCTTCGTCTCCCATGCTGCCGAGCTTTCCGCCGGCGTCATCGAGGCCGTTCACGGGGAAATGCTGGAATTTGCCAAGGACCGCTCTGATGTCTTCTTCGACATTCAGGGACAAGGGCCAACCAGATACCTCGCGATCCGCGCGCCCTCCGTGGACTTGGCCCACGAGTGCCTTGACGAGGCCCGCACCTGTGCAGACAACATCATCTTCGACAAGACAGTCCGGCTGGACGCGGCCTTCGTGAAGCCGCCGCCATATCCGCTGGGCTCGGTCGAAATCAAGCTCGCCCGTTTGCCGGCCTCGGGCTCCGCACGCCCAACGATGCTGCCGTGCTCCCAGCCCCGCATCTCGCTCGAGCGTGCTGCAGCCCAGCACGAGTCTAGCTACGGTGGCCCGCTCCGCCAGCAACTGGCCTCGGCTTTGAGCAAGGCTGGCCGTATCAAGGAGAGGGTCAATCTGCGCGTGCGACTTGGCCACTTCCATCTTCTAGCCTACCCTCGGCAGGAAGGACGGTCCGAGCCCGAATTCACATACGGCGTCTTCTCGGATCTGGTCAAGAAGAGTCGTACCAAAAGCCAGGTCATGACACAGGTCGGAGGCCTGGGTGAGGCTATGCAAATTCTCAATGCCATCAAGACCAACACGGACTCTTTCCTTGCCGAGGACATGGCTGTCTTGTCGGTGGCAGACGTCGGTCCAGTATTTGTCTTCGAGGCACTATCCAAGAAGCATAAGTTTGAAGCCCAGCTCCGACCCCTGGGCAACGCCGGGCTGGACGGTGGGGCCGGCAACTTCAAGGTCTCCAACATCGATGCCCTGGAGCTGATGGAGGGGAGCATCGGCAAGCAGCTGGACTTCAGAACGCTTTGCCTGGATCAGTAGGTCTTTTGTTATGTATGACGGCGACACCAGCTGACACCGCTCACGCAGGCCACTGGACTGGAAGATCGAAACCGTCAACGAGCAGCGCAAGACCATCGGGTTCGAGGCTCTGAAGTCTGAGATTCGGGGAGCCAACATTCGGTTCACCACGGGCGAAGGCGACAAGGACGAGCACTACCCATGTTTATACTTTGCCAACAAGGACAAAGTATTTACGGCGCTCGACAAGGTGGCCATGCAGAGTCTGTTCCGATTCCGGTACAACCCGGCCCCTTACGCCGTCGAATTTGTGCTCCGTCGCCAGTGGGACAGCCCTTCGGCCATGGTCAACCTGGAGGTGGACCCCGTGACGACCTTCGGCATCACGATATACGGCGAAGACTGGAGCGATACACGAGCTTCCGAGATCACAAGGACTGGACAGGGATGGGGCACTGAGCTTGAGCATTTGTTCCGCCAGGATCATGGCGGCCAGGAGGACTACGTAGCGCGCAGCGGACAGGAGAGAGTACAGGCCTTCCTCGACGTCCTAGAGGACATCCAGCATGCCCTTTCACCAGACACCCGGAAACTCGGCCAACCCTCCGTTGGACCACAGCCCAGCCAACTAGTCTAGCCCGTACACGATGGGCGGTCGCTGATTGCTCCCCCGAAGGCCAACAGCTCAGCCGGGTGACAGGACGGGGTGTTGATGGCCACCAGAAAAGACGGGGCCGCCAATGTGTTCCAAACCCAGGGGCCGGCAAAGATGCTGGCATGGTCGTGTCCCGGAATCACGCTTCCTCGGCGGACCGCACCTCTTCCTCCATGCCGAGCGGCTGTGTCTTTTTCCATTGTAATCCGCCTGTTGCCTCTGCAGCTGGTTTCCTAGTGTGCGCGTACATGCCGATTCATGCCTGCTGGGACTGTGGCTGAGGACCGTTGGCCATCTTCTGTCTGAGGACTAGATAGGGAGTAGACATTAGCCCTGGTACAAAATACGAGAGAGATCAAGGGAGGGGTGTCGCAGTGCTGATTGCGGCTGACCTTCTTCTATGAGACGAACATTGTTGGTCTTTTGCTGGATGATGGCCTCTAGGTCCTTGATGTTGTCCGCCAGTTCGTTGACCTTGGCGTTGTAGAATTCGGAGGCTGACTTGATGTCCTTCTCGACGTAGAAGCCGGTACCGACGTCGACGATGACGTGGGAGGCACTCGACAGGTTTCCTCGGACGTAGAGGGAGTTTGTCAGGGGCACGAGGATGGACTTGTTCTCTGCGGGAGGGGCGCAGGACGGTGAGCTGGGTGTATCTCTCCCTCGCCTTGGCTGGCAGCGGACAGGGGGGGTTTCGGGCATGCAAACGTACCTTGGAGAGCGGGAGACTTGCCGCTTTGCACGCAGCGCAGGCACTCGCGAAACTTCGACTGGGCGGCGTGCAGCTGTGTAAAGGACGACGTCAGGTGCTCGAGCTCCTCGTCTAGCTGCTTCTTGACCTGGCTGAGCTGCTGAGCGCTCAGGCTGTCGAGATTGACTGCATGCGACCCAGTGTTAGCCAGTCAGTCGGTGGCTGTCCGCCGCCGCACCGGTGTGCATCGGCGAGCGTCGTCGTCGTCTGGAGAGTGAAGGGGGCCTACCGGTCTCGCCACCTGCTTGTCCTGACATGGTACTGTCCGTGCCGGGGGCTTCTGTGCGAGTCTGAGGAGTGGGAGTTGCGCTTCGTACACAGCGCGGCAGAAAACTTTCCCAAAGTGTCGTCGGTCTTTGACCTCCAAGGATGGTGGTGGGCGGATAGGCGATGAGCGGGGCGGGGCGGGGTCCGTCCCCGCCTTGGCACCGTCTGTCTCTCAACACCGCCCGCGTTTATCTCCTTACATCTCGTTTGATTGTAGATTGAAGCTCTGTTGCTAATCAGTGTGTGTGTAGACGTCAGAATGGTGCAGCTCCCATCACAGCAACTGGGAAGATCGGCATGTCTTCGTTGGGGCCATCGGGCCGCAGACTCCTATCAAGAGGACAAGCCTTGTTTCTCGAGGTTCGCGCATGGAGACTGGCGTGCCGTCGTTTATGAGATGTTGAGACGTTATCGAGTGTGTTGAGGCGTTATCGAGTGGAACAAAATCACGTAAAGCGAATCCGAGTTGGAGTAGGAGGGTACGCCTCGCTATAACAATACATGCGCCGGTCGTGTCGCCATGTTCAACGTAGAGCGGGGATGTTGCGTGACTGAGCGGATGCTATGGAGAGTGAGCACTGGTACCGAGGTCGGTCATGCTTTGAGAATAAACCAGGCGACGGAGAATGAAGCCCTGTAACCCATCACTGTTGCCGCCCTTGACTACCCCTCGAATTGATCATTGTTTTTGGCTTTCACTTTGGGCTGCTCTTAGCATACAAGACCAGCGACGAGGCATCCGACAGGCCAATTATCGACACTCAATAAAGAGGCTCAACTTTGTCCCTTCGAGAGTAGATGAGTGTGGTTTCTGTGGTATTCTTCCCCTTTTCTGGAAATGATCGTTATAGTGAACATGTCAAAGTCAAGCTGCCAGCTCTGTATCAAGCGCCATTATCCCTCCTCCCCACCCCCTGGCGTATATTCATGTGCATCTCCCCCCTAACGATCAACCAGACGTAGTTAGTGCTCAGTGCCAAATGTCCTTTGGTCCTTTAGCTACTTATTCGCTCGCTAGGTCAATTAAGAAGTCGCCTTGACATACGCCGTGTATAACAGGGTAAGCCAGGCGATAAACCGGACCGTGGAACAGTCTTTCGTAATGCCCGGCTTTCTGTCAGTTCTCGTCAACACGCAAGGTTGACAGACTAGACGGAAACCTCAACCAGGCCCTTCATCCCAAGGGCTGGTGGCTTCAGTACCAGTCTCGTGTACAGCTGCACTCTTGTCGGTCACTATGAATGTCTGAGTCAAGCTCTCTATATGAAATCTTGTCAGAATTGAGAGGCCATGACGCCATGAAAATTGTTCCTGCGACTCAACCCTGCGACGGCTAGATGCCTGAGCTTTGCCAAGAGCCATGGCTGGGTTCGATTTGGCAAGTCCCGACTAGTGGGGTGAGTTCCGTCAAGGGATGGACCAGCGCGGGGACGCATGTGTGAGTATAGCCATCTTGCATGCCCAAGGTGAATAGTGTCCAAGCAGGGTCCATTACATTTGCGTGACACAGCAAGGTCAGAATGCATAACGATGGGAGGTGGCACGGGCTCTAAGAGAAGTTGTGAGCTTTTCTCCTGCGCATTCAAAGGAAAAAGGCGTTGCCCACGCTGATCATTTTTTCGCCGAGGTCTACATTACCCTACGATACCGCGGCCAGTGGTACGAGGAGAGGTCCAACGCTTTTCCCTAGCCTCCGCCGTCGCCCTGAAATCTCGCGGGTCTCCCGTCGAATGTCATTATCCTCTTGGCTCGCCTGTTTAGAATAAGGGATATCCGAACTTAAAGGTTCCGACCGCCGATAATCAGTCAGTCTCCGTACCTAGCCTCCCCACAGACATACTTACAGAATTTTTTTAAATACGAATCCTTTTATAAAGGTATATAAAATTACTTTAATAAAATTAATATTCTTTCTTTTAAATATTTATATATTTTTATAAAAAAATTATAATATTAAATAATAACATTTAAAATTTATTATTATTATTTTATAAAATTTAAATAATATATTTAATTTTAATTAATATAATAATTATATTTTTAATATTATTTTTAATAAAATTATAAAATTAATATTAAATATTTATAATATATAAATTATAAAATTATAAAAATAATATATAAAAAGTTATTTTTATTAATTTTATAAAAAATTAAAATTATATTTAAATAATTTATTTTTCTTTTTATTTTATTTATAATAAATTATTTTAATATATTTTAAATATACGTATTAAATATTAAATATAATAAAATTAAATAACGACTTCGTTACTTTTTATTATTTTATATTTTTTAATTTTTTTTACGCGGGCGGTTACGTTTTTATTTAACGGTTTTTATAATTAATTTTAATATTTATATAATATTTTTACGTGGTTGGGTAAACCCACGTTTTAAAAGTGGCGTTTTTATCTTTTTTAATAATATTTATTTATTATTTTATTTATTTTAATACTTTATAATTAATTTAAATAAATATTATAAAATTTATTTACTTTTTTATTAATTATTTTTATAATTATAACCTTTTTATTGTATTATAACTTATATTTAATATTATATTAATTAATTTAATTATTAAAAAATTTATATAATTAAAAATAACGGAAACGTTTTATATTTTATAAAACATTAATTATTTAAATGATTATAATAATTATAAATAAATGGTTTTATACGTTTTAACGTTAAATAATGGGTAATATAAATACAATTTTAATTATATTTTTAAGTGTTAAATATAATAAGTAATACTTAAATATTTATAAGTATCGTTAAGTATTTAAAAATCGGATATTTATATTAACTCAAACTTAATAAATATTTAAAAATTTAATATTAATATTTATAAGTTAAGTATTTATTTAATTTAATATTAAATACTTAATATTAATCTTATAATTTTAAATATAAATAAAGGTTTTAAAAGTCCCGGTATTTTATTTTTAAAGGTTTTAAAAAAGTTTATAATTATAATTTATTATAAACGTATTTATTTTTATATTTTATTTAAATTATTAATAACGGGTAATTAATAATTTCCGCGTTTTATTTTTTTAAAATGGTTTATAATAAAACGTTTATATATTTTTTATATTATTTTAATATATAAATTATTTATTTTCGGTATTATAAATTTATTTTAATATGATATTAATCTATAATTTATTTAAAAAAGTAAATTTTTAATTTAATTTTCAACCCTTTTTTTTATATACTTTTAAATCTTTAATTTTAATGATAATTTTTAATAATTAATTTATTAAAACGTATTTTAACCCTTTTAAAAAAAAGTAAATCTTCGTTTAAAATATAAATATTATTTAATGTTTTTTAAAGTTTTAATAAAAATGATTCGTTTATATTTATTATTTTAAAAACGGTTATAATACGTAACTTTTTTATTTTACCCTTTTTTTAAACGTAAAAATATATTTACGATTATATTTTTCGAACCCGGTCGGTAAATAATTTAAAAATTATATTATAATAATAATTTTTTATTTATTTATTAAAAGTTAAATTATCGTTTTATATTAAAGTATTTTAATATTTAATAATCGATAATTATTAAAAAGGGTTTTAAATTTTATAACCCGATTAATTCCGTTTATTAATACTATAAAACTTTAATTATTATTATAAATTTTTTATTATTAATCCCGTAATTATATTTAAAACTTTATATAATTTTTTAAATAATATATAACTGGATATTATACATCCGTCGTTTCGTTTTATTAAAATATTACGTTTATTAATATACCGTTTAATACGTTTATTTTTATTTTAATATTTTATTTATATAAAAAGTGGGTTAAAATTAAAACGTATATTAATCGGTATTTTAAGTTTTTAAACGTAGTTTTATATTTATTTAAAAGTTAAAAGGTTAATCCTTTTTAATTAAATTCGTAAACGGTTTAACGATTCTTTTAAACTTTTTAATTAAACGCCGGTAAAAATTATAAAAACTTAAAAAAACTATACTTTTATAATATAAATCGGGTATTTTTAACTTTTTAATATTAAAATGTTAATAAATTATTTAAACGATTTTTATTATATTTATATAAATAATATTTTAATCTTTTTAATAACGTGGAAAAACACGAAAATTACGTGAAATAAATATTTAAATAATAAAAGATTAAAAGTAATAAAATTATAAATAAATATTAATAAACCCGAGTTTTAAATTATTTAAACGAGGTTTTTTAAATTTATAATTAATATTAATGGTATTTATATAAATTTAAGTAATGTAATAATTTTTTACGATTAAAATAATTTATTAACATTTTAATATTAAAAAGTTAAAAGTCCGTTAAATAAATTAAACGATAAAACTTTATATTTATACGTTTTATAATAAATATAAAAAGTCATTAACTTTTTATTATTTAAATTTATACGTATTTTATAAAACGTTTAATAAATATCGATTTTAATATATATCTTCGTTTTAAATATTCGGTTTAATATCTCGTTTATTAAAAATAACGGATATTTATACTTTTAAATTAATACGTTTAATTTCCGGTAATCGACGTAAAATCGTAACCTTTTATTAATTTTAAATATAAAAAAAATCGATATAATTTAAAACGTTAAATTAAATTTAATAAAACCTTTTTTAAATTCTTTAAAATATATTTATAATAAACTTTAAACTTTTTAAAAGATATTTTATATAATAAATTATATTTTAATTTATTTAAATCCTTTTTAAATTAAATTTTATACTTAAACCGAAATCGTAAAAATAATAATTCGTTTAATACCGTTTTATTAAAAACGTTAAATTATTACGGGTTAATTAAAATAAATAATTATTATAATAAAAAACGAAGGGTATAAAAAACGAGGGGTAATCGATTTTATATATAAATAATAAACGTTATAATTATAAAAAAAGCTCCTTTTTCCTTTCCTTTTTAACTTTAAATTTTTTATAATATTATAAAATTTATAATATAACCTCGAT